GGATTGAAGGAAGGTCTATCAGCCATCCATAAGTTCAACATCAGTACTCGAACAAAAATATGCTTGAATTGAACATGAATAACCAGCTTTCTTCTTCCAAATCCAGTCTCCTATGCTTTACTTAGTCGTGAAATATTGAGTGGTGATTATGATGATGATGATGATGATGATGATGATGATGGCGAACTGGTGACTTAGAGGACAATTTTCAACTAGGCTGAATGCTGTTTCATACTAACATTCTATATTTACACACATTTAAAGGCGAAATAACTTTTTCTCCTTGATCTACTGGAAACCAATTCGGTCATAAACGTCATTGTGAACAGACAGTACCATCATTTGTCAAAAACTGAAGCTGTAAATCTCACAAATTAATGACTTAAGTGTTCATTTCTTTTTCTCGATACTTTCTAATAGGGAACCAACTACCATATACAAATACTCAGACAGCATGTTTTGGGACAACCATTTTCAGTGCTTGTCTATCAAAAAGAGACAAGTATATGAGTATTATATAACCTGGAGTGTATAGAAGTGATATGAAAAACAAGAAGAATGGAAACGAGGATGTGATAAGACAAGCAAATGCAAAGTTGTCAGGGTACTGCTTGATTAGTCGCTGTTTCTCTCTCTCTCTCCGAACAGGTTCCAAAATGTCTGAGTTATGTAGTTCTAATTCTACCGCTTCACCCCAATCGGTTTTTATTTACTTGACGCACGGCACAGTATGAATAAATATCTCCAGTCTTAAAATAATGAGTCGGTAGAGAGCTTCACTGGTACACCATTTCACAGAATTACTGTCGTTATATAAACCAGTAACGATTATCTGTAGGCTAGTGTATCAGCTGATTAGCCAACTGATGTAGTTCAGAAAGATGCTAGAAGGAAACGATGTTTAGTTGAATTGATGATTTCCCTCACCATCAATAGTTCTATTGAAATATTATCAACCGACAGCCGATAGAAATAAATTTCTATGCACTGACATACTTGACAACTTGGTTGATACGGTACAAAACCTAATCATATATCCGACTTAATCACAGGATTGAAGTTTTGTGAATAAAATAGATGACACCTTCAGAGAAACTGTTACCATCAACATGTTAGGTCAGCATATTCCATGGTACTGGTGCTACGATATAGTTTCCTTAAATAAAATGAAATACATGAAGTGCAAAATGATTCATTTTGAAACTAATCAAATGCTCTTATAATGCGACGCTTGCTATACAAGTTGTTCAACACATGACTGGTACTAAACCTCAGTAAAATAATGTCACATTGAACGACGTTATCATAAAGCAAGTCAATTTACTGTTGTGGAAACAACATTCAATGTTGATCGGTCACTCTCACATCGATCCACTCAGTGCTCAAAATTGCTCAACCTGAAACTGTTTACTCTTCAGCTATCATTGAGTGAGGATAAAGTCTAGTGGAAATTTTCTCTAAACTATGGATGAACCTGACGATCTTTGGTTGTATAACAGTTTTATGCCAAATTGAATCCATAATACCATCATGACTAGCTGAGAACTCAGAATATCATGAAGCTTTGAAATCAACCTCCATTCACCTCCAGCATATACAGAGATCTTCTGAGAGACGGATAAGATTGTACCTTTTCACAGAAAATGAGATTAAATTCCTTAATCATCCTTGCGAAGCTCATCTACACTCTGGGCAATGTTCAGCATGACATTGTTATGAATTATTATTATTATTATTAGAACACAAACGTGATACAGCAATGGCACCAGTAAATGCACCACGCAAAATAATGTAATGCTGTTACGAAGACAAATAGCAGAGGAAAGCAGATAACAAGAAAAACGCAGCAAGAATAGAATGATTAGAAGGGCATTCCAGTAGGATACATTCAAAATCAAACTTTCATTACATTTCAGCAAAAGAAGATAGAAGAAAGCTACTATGTGACTGCTAATGGTTTCGATTATGAGGCATATCTGGTAATGTCTCAAGCCACTGAGTTACGTGATCTCTTGTACCACAACCAGTAAATCGTGATACCCCAATAGATGCTAACCCAATCCAACTCTCCTTCATCCCACACTACCATATCACACATGGACCATCCGCTTCTTTTATCCAGTCACAGGTCCTAAAGATAGCAAACAGTGAAAGCTATGGAAAGCTATGCGTATTACATGTCCAAGCCACTGAGTCGGGTATTTTCAGATAACTTCACTTGTTAAATGATGAACTGTGCCTTACAGAAGCACATGCTGTTGTAACTCAGAATTACGTACATTGTGTTGCCAACGGATACGGGCAATTCTACGGAGGTAATGATGATCGAACATGTAGAGTCATTGCAGATCCTCAGCTAGGTTTCACAGGAGTAGAGTAGAACTGACCACACCAAAGCATTGTTAACCCGACATTTTACGGTCTGACTAACGTTGCGATTACGCCAAACATGACTAAGAATGGAGTAAGTTACTCTGGCTTTTGGCATGCGATAGGAAATTTCATCACCCACACTTCCACCAGCACTCACACAAATACCCAGATACACGAATGCTTTTACTACTTCCAACAGCTCACCACCTACAGTGGGCCTAGGCAAGAGCACCTTCCAATCACACAAAAGCACGTTACACTTCCATGATGCGAAGCACATACCATACCTGCTGACACTAATCGTCAACCAATTAGGTGCGATTTGACTGGCCTGTGTGTTTTCCCAGTAAGACGATATTGTCCGCTTATTCCAGGTAGAATAGCCGTTCTTCGGAAAGGAAATCTACATTACTATAACACACTTACTACAGAGCTGTCTCAAGAGGTGACTAAGTTAAAAAGCGATGAAGAAATCGAGTTATCTTGCTTAACCCCAGTGCTGGTTTGGAACGGTGGAGACAGGTGGTTGTATACCCTCACTCTACCTGAGATGTTGTTAAGTGGGACTTTCGGGTGTCAACAAATTCCCCCAGCACACTCCTCTCTGGTAGAAAAATCCAGAGTGCAATCTTGTCTAATGTATCGAATAAGCCGCAAAAGCTTCCAAATACTGATGGATGCAGCTACCGTCTCCATCTCACTCGCTTATTCTGACCATCAAGCCTCATGGTCTTTGTGTAAGCGTTGTGTAATCTTCTGTTTAAGAGAATTAAGGAAACCACTGTGCTCACTATCCACCAGAATGATCCAGAAGTTACACGGAGCTCGCAGAGACCCATTTTTTATTAGCGGTACACTATTCCAAACGGTAAGCAGCTTCGCTTGCCATTTTCATGGCGTCTTGCAGGTGCAACCAATGCTCGTCTACACTTTCTGGAGGATTAGTATCCAGTCTTAAGTCTAGCTTGGATTGGTGTTTAGCCACAATGTTAGATGGAATTAATTCGCTCTTATCAACCTCAATTTGATGATGATTTTATTTACCACCAAAACACAAGACGAGCTTAGTACACACTAAAGTATGATGACACTCCAGACGCTTACCTCGTATGGTATGGCAATTCTGTATCCACTCACGCCATCAACAACTGATTGCATTGTGATCTATATGAGTCCAGGCTTGAGAGAGAACGCCAGGCAACACAATTACAATGCATATGCAGGAAGTTGGTGTTGTGTAGAATTAGGTTGTGATGTGCATAAAGCTTCACAAGACGATCCCTATTGTCCGACTAGCGGCCAACTAGTCTCCACTGGACTCCTTAACGACTCTCTTCCGAGCCTGGACATTCATTCTGCAAACAAGCTATGTGGAGGCAGTGAGTAGAAACTTTCTGGCAAAGGATGTGACACTGAAATGTTTACCAGACAGAAGCGAAGCTCAGACGAAACTCAAAATGAACATGCCTGATGTTATTCACATATTTCGAGTGATTTAGATCTGAAGACCCTACAGCAGGCAATATCAACATTCAGACAGCGGTAAACTTACTGTAAGTACCAACAAAAACAACAGACATAAGACAGACTCTTTAAATTGTATGTATGTACGCTCACTGAAAATAATCGACCCAGCTGGGATTTGAAGGAAATATTCAGACCTATATGACTCTTCCATTTTTCAGGCTTGCAGTGTGTTGAAATGTATGATCAGTTTCAAACACCTCCTTGGGTCCTGACAAACTTTGAGATTCACAACGGTGAATGACAGTATAGACAACTGCCTGACGGTTCACAATAAACTGGGATAAATCTAATTCAGCAAACTTGCTGATAGCTTAACACTGATATCATCCGACGTGTTAGAGCACCCGAGATCATCACTGAAGTATTTGATCCTCATTTCAAAGTTCTTCCCATATTTATTCCGTAAAATTCCATTATCATATCAATGTTAATTGATTTCTGCTTAAAAATGGCAAACCTGACTACCAAGGTGATTGTTTCCGTCTCAGAAATTCAATGTCCATATTGTTAGTGTACCAAGATATTTCAGATAAACTCCTATTCCTACATACGTGAAAATTCATTGAGATTCAAATCAGTGTGCTTGTCACTATTTGCTCTGCTGACATCTGCAAGCTGAGCCGTATTCTGTCACGCTGACAGAATATCTGACTTCGGTCTGTAACGCTTTGGTTCCCTTGGAAATCTTTGAACACTATTCACATGTTCACATATGTGCTACTGTTATTGTGTGAAGCGTGACTTCTAACATCCATGTTTAGCAACCACTCATTTCTTCAGACAGTCTACTCATTCTCCTATGATATTCATTTTGGCATATTGTGCAGGTTATTGTCTCCGGTCATGATCTTCTGAGACAGTTTTCATAACATCAAATATGTTCCGATCTCTTCATCTAGAAGATGCGTACAATAACGTTTCATAAACTGTCTGCGGTTTATAACTCCTTGAGCAACTCATGATTTCTTACAGCTGCTCCACTTACAACCAGCTCCTAGCATTACTCGCTGATTATCTACATCAACTCACTGCCCATCATCTTTTCCAGCTATATCAGTAACCGAATACATCTCTCATATGCAACAACTAATGAATGAAGCCTAACATTGAAGATGTGTCGTGTTCAATTTTCATTACATTCAATGAAGGAAAGTGGATTTAGGCGATTCAGCCTAGTTATCAAAATCACATTTTTTAATATTCATAGAATCACAGCTGAATGAAATTCAATCACTGGTAACTAGCAGTAACCAGATATTTGGATTCAACCACTGAATAATAAATGAGACCATCAAAGAAACACTATGCATAGATTATTCAAGTTATGTAGTTCAGTTGTGTGACAACAGAAAGTGTTTGTTAATTTTCTGAGTACAAACATTTTCATGATGACACACACACACACACACACGGAAAATAGTAAGGTGAAGAGTCAATGGAGGGTGATTTGAATATCTGGATAACCCAAGTTATTGGAAGTACTCAGTGTACTGTTTATTCCCGCGTAACATAGAGTTATTGATAAGCAAAGTAACATTTCTTGAAACCATAATATGTATGCGAAGAATAATATAACAGAGAACGTTGGATTGAAAGAGCCATATCTCAGGTAATCGATGGTCATGAAGATACTCTGAAATTGAAGAAGTAAATCTCATTGTCAACAGTACGAAAAGTTTGATAATGTAGAGCAAAGTTTATTCTGTGCATCGTTCTATTGAATATGGTGACCGGCTGACCTTTATTCTCAACCTGCAGTCTCTGTGTGTTCTGCATACCACATATACATACATTCCATGTTATGCAAAAGCATCCTCAACAGAAGTGAATTGCATAAAATGAAGAGATGTACACTGCTGAAATACTTTCGTAATTAGCACCTTGAAAAACCACATTCCACAAGTCAAATAATCATTTCACTTATACACAGTATGAAACTTACTATGGCTAATGCAACGCTCAAGGATATACCAACTGCCGTCATGAGTTGTGGCTGCAGAAAAAAGATATAAATTTTGGCATCAAGAATTTTTGTATTAACACAGTGCATGGTTGAAAAATGTACAGAAAAGCAAATTATCACTCACCACTCCATTATGAACTGCTGTCTGCAGCTCATCTTGTTCAACACACTACCGTTGAATGCACAGACAAAACGTGGTTGCACCTCATTAACAAAATTCCGTCAACCATTCCATGAATAAATCAATGGAATCTGTTATACACAAGGCTTCCTGCAACATACAAAATGAGCAGGATATTCTTGTTGCTCATGGAAACTGACCTGTCACGTAAATCATATGCAAAATTAGATGGTATATAGCATGCACTCACTGTGCAGTCTGTCTAAATATCGCCAACCCACACTGAATATCACAATTCCAAGTATATTCACCTCACTGGAATGACTTCTGTGAAAATAAAGGCTGTTTTCACTTTCGTAGAACAACTACAATTCAAACATGATTAGACTCATCAGCATGAACACCTGAAATGGATTCCACTGGCTAGTGAGAAGGATTTCTAAAACACAGACAACCTTGTTTTCAGGTTTCACCAATGAAATGGTGTTGTCTAGATACTACCCTCCACTCTAAGGATGATTTCATAAGTGTGAGTAACAGAATAATTGGGTGGGGTCAGAATGAACATGCTCCTCGAATGTTCCACAATTACATCATTGATTGGATTGACGAACTACACGCAAGGAGAAGACTTGATACACATGCGAGTCTGATGGTGCACTGCTGTTAAGAGATAAAGCGTCACCACCTACCAAGACTTAACTTCCCATTCAGTCACCTACATCATTCGAAGCAAATGAAAGCAAGAAGTGGTTGAATCAACACCTCCGGGTGTGGTGAATGCAATACAGTTATATTACTGAGACGTCTAATTCCATAGTCAAGAGCATGAGATCTAAGCAGGATATTTTAAAAGCCAATTAGGTTAACTGTATGGTAGACTGTGTCAGATTTATCGACTTCACGTAATAATCTCTGAGGCGGAAGGAAATTTCGTGTGACTTTTCAACATCCACTGCAATACTCAGTGACTTACTTCGTTCTCCTAAACCTGAACGGAAGAATACACAACTTTTCCAGCTGAATTCACACTGACACTCGAATACACCCTTCGATCAACAGAGAACTGACGAAATTCGATGAGATATTTGGTCACCTAGTGAGTCTGGAAAACGCGTCGATTGAAACTGAATTCCTGGAAACTGTCAGAGAATCATGCATATTTAAGACAGAATGAGAAGATTGTACATGACATCAGAGAAAAGGGGATCTGATATCAAAACTGGTGTCAAATGTGACATCCACTCTTCAAATACTCCAAGCAAAACACAATAACCATTGAACACACTGAAATTTTGTAAACTACAACACACAAATGTAGAAAACTTACACGAAGGGGTATGAAGCTGGCAGCTACCCCACCGACAAGCAAAAATCCGACCAATATCCACATGAATACCTTCCATCCTTTACCACTCAGATTCTTCGATTTGAGACCTGCAATCGCAGCGGTCATGAAAATCACAGCCGTCATGCTAAGCACAATGAGGGCTTCCGACCACTTCAGTTCAGCTAATAGTACTGCTGCACCAGCAGAAAGTGAAGAAACCTGAAAGTCAATCAACACAGCAATGAATGAAATTCATCAGTCGTGAGTATTACACAGGAACTGAGTTGTAAATATCTGCTCAATTGTAGCGGTATGAATGATTGGAGTTTGGAATAGTGAGAGGAAGTGAAAGATTCTGCAGAATGTGTGTGGATGGTTGTGAGATCGGTCACTACGATTGTCTTGAAGAGCCCCATATAGAACCACATCAGAATAAGTATTACTATGGTTTTCACAATAACTGTTACACAATCGCAGATATTCAAATTTTTCATCAGTTCACTATGCTACTTGTATGGCTGTTGAGAATGAAATCAATACGACAGGAGTCTTCTCCGATATCCCCTGTTCCCCAGTGGTGCACATGCAATATCTGTATTCTCTCAATAATGAGGGGATAAGAATTAGCGTGTAGCAATCAGCATATGTGCTTACTATGACAATTTTCATAGGAATTAAATTACTGCTGAATAAACTGTGAAGGTACTTAGGATAAGAGGTATGGTTAGATAGAGATCTTATATCAGTCCACTTTCACTCAACATACACCAACTGTGTGAAGAGCATGAGTGACTCCACTAACTACTCTCTATTTTATGAAGTCGAGTGATGGTCACAACGATCCACATTATCAGGCTAGCCCACACTACTGACATGAAGGTCATGTCGCTCTCAACATACCGCCTATTTCGATACAATGATGCGTGCAGTGTGGCCAGATTATCAGTAGTTAAAATAGAGATTTCATGCACTAACACAAACGGCAGGTCAATACAAAGTTCGTTCACCCAAATCTCAAGTATGTTGTCTTAAGTAAGTACATTGACAATGGTGATTAATAAACTGGCTAATCATTGTTCTCCTTCAACCTGACTACCGAGTAGATGTGATGCATAAGGAAGTAACTGAGAGCATAGTTTGACTTTTATTTCACCATGAGAAATATTTTTGTGTTGAAGAAATTCACTGTTGCATTGATTCATGATAACTGAAAACGAAAACTACCAAATTACTACCTTCATTTGGAACTAGTGAGATGAAAGTTTTAGAGTGGACAACAGCAGAACTACATTTCTCTGCGTAAGGCTGTATTATTTTTATGATTATTATTATTATTTCTCCTCCGGCCTGCTAGTGAAACACAGGGCTTCAGTAGCACATCACCGTCACCATTTCACTCTCTTCTCTGCAGTCTTTTCAGCCTGGCTTGATGACTGCCCAGAAGCTTTCATTTCCTCCTTTTTGTTATTGGATGGTTGAGTATATTCACCACCTCTGTCTTCTCTACATTCACTTGAAGTCCTGTCTACTCTACCCTACCTCTTCTGACAACCTGTCAGTTTTCGCCTGTAGATCTTCGAGCTTCTGCGATGTTAGACACCAGACATGAATCATCATCGGCAAAATCTAAATCTTCTTCTGGGGTCTGGTCATCAGTCCAGCCATCCTATGCCCATCTTCTCACACCTCCTCACAGTTTCTTACATACTCCAGTCAACCACAATCAAGAAGATCATCGGTGATAGTAAGCCGCAACCTTGTCTTACTCCTTCCTGTCCTCACTTCAAAGAGGTCACTCAGCTTTCCATTGTGAATCACTTGCCATGCAGCACATTCATATACCTGTTCAATGAGGTTGATAAATGTTTGTGGAACTGGAACTGTAGTGTTGAAGCAGCTGCCTACCAAATTACTTCTCGGTCAACACCTCGATCGAAGGCCTCTTCAAAGTGGATGAATTTGAGGTTGAGTTGAGTTGACTTGGATTCTATGTTGTGTTCTATGATGATGCATAGCGTAGGGTAGGGTATCAATTTGATGCGAACATGATTTTCTCTTGCTTAAGCCAACTGGCCATCCAGTCAGCCTGTTGCGGTCGTAGTTTTGAATGTAGAGCATTTTTTGTGCTCATTGTCCAAGATGATGTGGCTCAATATTTTGTTTGGTGAGGACAGGAGTGGAGCATGATTCTGCTGCAGTTCTTGTTCTAGCCAAGACTTAGGTCACCTTTCTTGGGTGGTTGACGAGGTAGCCATTCTTCCAATCAATAGGCAGGTAACTTTCCTTCCTGCCTTCCTGGATTTCACCATCTTTATGGCGTTCAACACTTCACTTCTACTTTTCCTTCACTATCTTTCATTGATTTCATCTGTTCTGTGTTGATCTCTTCCCTCCCAGATATTAATCCAGTTATTTGATATTGTATTGTCAGGTCTCTGTCTCTCCTATCTGCAGCCCGTTCTGCTTCACTTACAAGTGTGTCATGGAAGTGTCTTTTGTCCTCATGCGTACTCTTCTTCACTTCATTTGTCCGGTGTAGTGTTTTGTAGGTTGTACTCTGTTCCTCTTTCCGTTGTTCATCCCTGCAATGCGCTGTACTGCACTGGTTCGTCTTCTGCTTCATCATCACCGTCACCATCTTCCTCTCCCCTTCCTCTTCATTCCTAACATGGTTATGCAGGTTTCCTTCCACATCTCTTTCACAGAGTTCCAATGTTCTTCCACGCGGCTTTCTTCAGAGAGGTCCCTCAATGTCTCCCTTTATCTCATGATCACTGACTAACGTGAAGATGTCCTTTATAGATTAGTCCTTCAGTTCAGTTTCTATTCTGGGTGTTCAACGTGAACTGCGGTCTATCACCAACTTCTCTGAAGGCTTTCAACTTGATTTTGAAGGAAGATTGCTTGCACTAGATAATGAGTGGTCTGGAACTACGTCTGCTCCTCTTCTTGATCTGATCTTGTATCCAGTAGGCTCGTCTCCACTTCCTTCACATTAAGATAAATTTGATCTGACTTTTAGTGTAGCGTGTCCTCGTGTCTGGTGAAATCAAATCCATGTCGCTGCCTTGTGAATATCCTTGTGTCTGTGCACACTACCTCCAATCACCAAATCGTTGAATGCGCAGAAGTCTGCAAATAGTTATTCATTCTCATTCATCATTTCACAGAGTGTCTCTCGACCCATGATCAGTTCTCTTCCTGTGTTGTCTGCTCCCAGTTTGGCATTCTTTCGTCCATTAAAATTTTGATGTCACTAACTGGGGTGGGGTTTTGTCCAGTGCTGATTGCAGTTGTCTGTAGAATTCCTCCTTCTTCTCTCCATCTGCATTATTTCTAGGTGTATAGCGTAGCACTGAATGATTGTGACTTTCCTACACTTTCAGTTGAATCTTGCTGTCATGATCCTGAAGGAGGAGAATGGTTCCCACTGCATGAGACAGAGCCTTAGATGTTCTTGTGGACATCATGATAGCCACTCCAAAACTCAGTGTGCTGGTGATTGTCGTCTTGGTTGATAGTTTGGAGAGTCCACTTTCATTCCACCTGCTCTCGCAGATTCCTGGCACTTCTCTGCTATACCTTCCCATCTCTTTTGCAATCTGGTCAGCCTTGCTTGCTTTAAACATTCTTTGTGCTTTGAAGTTTCTTTAGCGATTGGATTGGTTTTATGGGGTAGGGGTGCTAGCACTATGCCCAAACTTCCCTCTTTATCCGGGCTTAGGACCGGCTAATAACTAGTGAACTGGTTAACTAGGCCCTTATAATCAACTGTAATAATCTTCTCCATCTCTAAAAAACTGAAATTTTTCCTGACACATACAAATAATATGTTTTCAGAGAAAACGTGTAAACTTACTGCTAATAAGGTGACGGAGACATTGGCAGGAAAACTATCCCTCAGTTTCGTGACAAAAGTTAATAGAAGAGTTACGATGTCGACCAGTATCCTGAAATCAAAGTGAGAAATTCGCTTGTCATCACTCGGGTTAACTATAATACACAATGAGATGGGGAGAAAGCCAAAGTATTTCGGGAGTATCATGGTGAATACCATGATATGAATGAACTATATGGATGCATTCATGTCTGAATAGAATATTGTCCAGCTATTACAACGTCTGAAGGGCCGAAAAGCAATTCATTGTTGATCAACTCAAAATAGTCACTTCAACACGATGTACATAATGCAAGTATGTTGTTCATTGAGGAAAGGCGCTGGCAAATGTTGGGAATATTGGAACTGTCTTGATTGTCCCATACTGTGGAGTGACCACTTCCGCACTCACTCTATGCAAATAATCAAAATGTCTTCATTCTCCAGTTTCCAGCTAAGCTAGTCCAATCAACACAGTACACAGTGAGGCATCAATATTCCCAGGTTTAGAGTTGAGAACATCTGATCGACCCATTCCAACGTTCTAATCATTCGTTTAACATCTCTTTGTGTATTCACGTCAAATGATAGTGATTATAAAGAGGCAGTACAGTTTGTCAACTCACATCAATATTCAATCAACTTACAGTATTACAGTCGGGATGAGGTTTTTTCCAATTTGACTGCTTGCACTGTGATAAGATGAACTGGAATAAAGAAAGGGGGTATTGTGCAAGATTACTTGTCTACACCGACGTGAGTGGCGATAACCATCCACAAATCATTCATTGACAACAGCTGAATGTCAAGAGAAATTTGTGAAGATAACTTGCTCACTTGCATCAATATAGATCCGAAAATCGTATGTTTACCAGTTTATTTCGTCTGTGGGAGGTCCTGTGTATGTGGGGGTGGTATCCCCGATGAATGAAAAATTGGAAATCTAGAGAGGAAATGGAATCAAGTACATATTTTATTACATAATAACGTCTCTTGTTAACAGATAAACAAACAACAAAAGCATATGACTGTGATCATATGAAATCAAACATTCTGAAGCATTTATCAGTATATTCAGGTGTGATTGTTTGAGGAAAATGAGACGAATATTGAACATGAAAGCATTCTGCAGGTAATTACAGGTTTCAGAGGCTTTCTACTTAAGGTCAGTGGAATGCACACCAGCGAAATGAAGTGGATTTATTAGCCACTGCAAGTGGTTATTGTTCCACATACAAACACTTTCTAACAAATATCACGCATGCTAACGTGTATCATTTGCAGATCCCCACTCAGTAGTGTGGACGGTTTTCACAGTCAGTCTCAGATATTGTCAGAAAGTGAAGAAACTCTTGCCAACCTATCAGCTTATTCAGACATCAAACTATTGAATGAGGCCAACAATATCAGTCTGGCTTCAAATCTCTATACATGTCAACATAGTTATCATGTTGACTACACTGTGATTGAGATGCAGGAACGGGGTGTGGAAATTCACAATAAATGTTCGTGTAAATTTTACACTCAGAAACATGATGTAGAATTCGTTGTGTTATGAAAAATCCACACATACTGCAGGTAATTGTTACTCCGACAATGGGATTAGTTGACGGCTAGTAATGTTCGCATGGTGGATGTTGTGGTAGTGAGTGTAGGAGTCTCCTGCCTGATCGTAATACACATAATTCCTCAATGTACGCACCATGTATACTTGAATGAGTGAATCACACAACTGTGTAAGACAATAAAACTCATGAAATTACCAAACAACATAAACTCACACGAACTCGTTCACTCTTTCTCACAAATGAACAAATTCGAGTAGTCGACAACTAGTAATATACAGCAGAAAAGGTAGGCGTAACATCGATTAATTATTGAAGTGGACTTCAACCCATCAACCAGTTTTTTCTCAATCAGAAAAACAGTCAACTGACTTCATCAAATGTGATATCTTTTCATCTATTCACATGTACATGAATGTTGTGCATGAGCATCCTGACTACCATAGACTCAGATGGGATTCATGAATGGTGATTGGACAAAAGTGTTGCACGTTGCACATATGTACGAATTCTTGTGTTCATTTTTGGCAGCACTTTTACAATGAATTTCAAAGTGTGCGAGTGAATGAAAGATGATCTGATTTTCAGTGATGTGGAATCTGAAGAGTAATCTTATGGAAGAAATGAGCAGAGTGAAGGAGACTGAAATATTGACAGTTTGACATTGGTTGGAGAAGGAATGGAAGCGTGGAAGCACTTGACAAGTATTTAGTAGTGCACATCGAAGGCCTGGTGCGACATCAAGCCTGACATCATCACTCATAGTTACGATTCAGTGTCAATTTTCAACTAGGTAGCAAACACTAAAGCACTTCACCACTTCACAACACTTACCTTAAATGAAACTGCTTCCATAGAAGGATGCATATTTGGTGTATCAATTCCCTCGTCGCAACACGACTGGCCCTGATTTCTTCTCTGATCCCACTACAGACATCAGAATTCTCAAATCAGTTAAACAATAGAGCGAATGTTACATCATGCTTTAATTGTAATGAAATGGTTCATTGTCAAGCAATGCACCAGCGTGTAGATCCTCAATCCTTATTCCCTTGTTTCTTGCCTAATCTTTATCACGTGAATATGATGCTGACGGAAGTTCTCTCATTATATCTGATGAGTAGTTATTGCGATGAAGTAGATTCAACGTCTGCACATTTTACTTGTATAATGGGAAGACATGAGCCTATACTTTGTTTGCATGATGAGTGGTTGGGGCGATGATGTTTAGACACGTTTCCTCTCTGTTCATAATTCGAATAATTACTCAATATATTCATCACATATACCTGAGTACGTGATAAACCACTTTAACAGTCAAACCCATGAAACCAACCGTCAGAAGTTTTAATATACTCACTCATATGGTCATATGGCTATGGAAGAAAAATGAGTATTCGACAATGGAGTGTGCACAGTGAAAAGCATAGATGTAAGTGGGTATGTGTATTTGAAGAGTAGTGGTTGAGTTCTGTAATCGATCTCAACCAATACAGCAGCTTTTTACAGCCAAACAAAAAATACTCATCGACTACATCATGTGTGACACTTTTTATTCATCTGAATGTTATGCATGTCCATCATCACCACCATACATTCAGAAGTGATTCATCAAGGGTGGTTGTGGAAGTTTGCTAAGCATTCTGTGTGTGCAAATTCATGTCTTCATTTCTGACACCATTTTGATGTTGAGTTTCAAACTGCATGATTAAATGCACGATGGTCTCATCTCCAGTGACATAGAATCCACAGAGAAATATGATGTATGATAACTTGATGGATGTTCGTTCTCCTGCATGAAGGATTCTGTGTTGTCAAATTGTTGAACAAAGATACTATCTATATATGGTGCATTCTGTTTGTGTGAGAGAGAGAGTGAGGCATGTCTGATAAACAGACTGAGATTTGTATGTTCACATGTGTTGATGGTGATTATGTAAGTATGTGATGGTGGGTTGAGATTAGGTCAAACTACGTTGCACATCCTCATTCCCTCCTATTCAAACTATTTTCATTCCATTTTACATGAAGATATTATGCTACGAGACGTTGTTCATAACTTCTGAAACCTTTCTGAATAATTTCGATATTGTCAAAACTAACATTTTGATTTGAAGTTAGGTCGCGCATACAGCAATGGGTGAAGTATTCCTCAGTGTTTTGGGCTTGAATGGATTTCTCCGGAACCAGATGGGAGCCTTTCAATATTCACTTTCTTCTGATTGCATTTCACGTCAAATTTATTCTATGTACACTGCATTGCAGTCTGAGCATTTTGTTTTATGAACGTAATGAGATTGTGATCCAGACGGATCTCGTCCTTCAATTAGACTAATTTGCTCCAAATACCATCAAACCATCAAACTCAAACATCCTTTGCATATGTATAAATCTCTTCAGATAACTGAAAATGATTCAGTGTTGTCATTTAGCCGATTCAGGAGCAATTTATGCGAAGGCCTAATCGTCTTTTTCATGTAATCATCAATGTAATGAGATATGGCTACCAAAAGGCTGTGGGAATAAATATTGTGTCAGGGAACCAAAACAACACAGTGAAGTTCGTTTCTTAAAACAGTGGATGAATAATTGAGAAATGTTTTTGTGATGTAATCCATGATAAATCTTGTGCAGACAAAACGATTGGGGTAGTTGATTGATGTGACGATGATGACGTTCGTGAATTGGTGACATTTAGTAGGTTATAGAGATGAGACACAGAGATACGATCCCCATAACATCTTCAAAATTCATCCTGTCAGATCTGGTCATAGGCATCAGCAAAATGAGAAGCAGACCCCAGATGGAGTGGAACTCAGTATATCTTTACGCAATAGCACAGATCACAACAATGAATCATCCGAATTCACCAAGCTTTTGGAATGACAGGAATGATTTGTAGTTAAAGGTAGGAATGGCAGTGTCTCGATGTAGTGTTGAGAGGTTTCCTTTGAGCATCTTGGCAGTCTCATGATGAAACAAACTTTCACCACGAAATATCCAGGCACATAACACATAGAACCACCATCGACTGCAGCACCTCACCATCATTTGAAATCAACCCCTGTATTCTGTATTGCTTAGATTACTTGTAGTCTTTGTGTGTAAGCATGAGGGTGAAGTGTTGGGCATTCGGTGCCTCATGTTCTCTAGCAAATAATTAACACTGAACACAAGTCTCTTTCCATGTCAAAATCCGCCTAATGAATGAGCAGCGTGTATTTGAACATGAAGACAGAGATTGTAATGAAGGGAGTAAAGTAGGAAACAGTCCTCATTTCCTGTCAATTCATGTTCAGTGAAGTAACCACCACATTTGCTATTGGTATGAAGCTTCACTTACAGAATGTGTGTGCGCATTCCCGATCACTTAGTTTATGAAACGTGTCTCACTAGAAGTAGAGTGTGTAATGTTGACCAATTGTCTGTTGCAACTACAAACCATGATAGGTTATCTACAGTGTAGGAAGCTGATAGAGAATGTAACACAAATTGTACGTGCTTGTGTTGGTTGGACATTTCGTCTATTTCGACTCATCCATATCACAGTAAACGGAGCAAACTGATGGAGATAAACTGTGTCCAACCTGGCATCATGTTCGTGTTTCCTTCCATATGATTCACATGCAGAGTGCTAATCTAATCAGTGTGGACTGATGTTCTGAGAACCCAGAACTCAACTAATTCATGAATTGGTTTGAAGTGAAGGAAAATCTGTTTGATTTCAAGTGTCATGACATGTTTGTTAATAATGGTGAATGATCTAAGGGTTGTAGACTCAAACATGTTGTGCAGTTTGTCAGTGTAACGGAGAAGAATCAGGTAAATGCTTAAAAGAAAAGATTGAGAAATCATAGTCGCTCATTCATACTGCAAACATCTTTCAGTGGATGTACTTATCACGGTAAGAATCAAGGAGATTTATTCTGAAGGAGACAATCGTTCCCTTACATACCTGGCCACGGTACTGACAATGGGAACCGTCTGATGTTTTGAAATACACGGAAGATGCTGTCACCATCAGTTCAGTGTTGATGAGATAGTTTCTGTGTCTGTTTTCCAGACTTCTCGGTGAACACCAAGTTTGTCTGTTGACATTTCCACTCAATCACATTTCATTGTCTTTATCCGAATTCAACTGAAATTTGTCTATTTATTATTTAACTACTCTTAGGAGTTTCGGTGTAGTTTTGAATTGTGAAAATGTGTATTCTTCATGCTTATATCATCCATCATTTAAAGAAAGCAGTTGATATTGAACATATTTGTGAAAGCAAATTAGCTACGAATGTGAATGTATAGTCTTGAAAATGAAATCTGTAAAAAGAGTCTTTCACTTAGTGACTTCTGCTTGTTGTTCGTATATTCTCGATTGGTATTTCTCTTCTAATGAAATGACTGATTGTTGAAGCATTCGCATTTAGTTATCTTGTCATTTGGTTATGTGAGTGATGAAAGTACGTTTCATGTTTACCTACATTGAGAAGTCTGGCTGACCAGGAACCAGTTTATCCAACATTTAAACTTACATTATTCACAGGTGAAAAGTTTGCCACAGATCCAACAATGTATGTGTCTGTATATGAAATGCATATTCACTGGTCAGCACTGTGAATGTGAGTCGTATTTTGTTCTTCATGTTGAGCTGAAGGCTTCATTTAGATTCGGGTTATAGTCGTTATTTATGTCAGTATGGTTATGCAAAATAATTTTGATGTACTAAACATTATGCTTTTTTGTAGAAGCCCCTTAGGAATACTGTGTCATTGATGTCAATGCCGACTGTATGCTCAGAAAGATGGTCGAATTGTTTTACTATGCTGAACTTGTTCCCATGAAGTCAAGTGTACTTCACATATATGCAAAGGCAAAAAAGTTTCACTGAGGGAGCCGAACGTTTCTGATTTCATATGAGTAGTGAGTGCATTTTGCCTTTATGATCCCAAAGAACTTGCTTCAGGCATCATCAGTAATCAAGACTTAACTCACAGCCTTGTCCTACAGTCTTCCTCATGGAATCTTCATTCGAACACTCGATGCATTTTCTCACTCAGGTGACTGCCTACTTTAATCTGGTTAACTGCTGAAATTGTCTCAGTTCACGACATCTAAACTGCATACTCAATTATTCAGTCTATTCGTGTTGAATTCCTACTAATGACTTTTGCTTATCCTTGATGTCTACTTCAGTTTCAGCGTACACATGCACATGAGTACTGATTGCACACTAGAAGTAACTAGGTGGGAATATAAGGTGCCTCACTAGTGATGATTCCTGAAACTCAAATATCTTGATTTGAAATCTCAAGAAATCGCTTTGAGCAAATTCTTCATTTGTCACCTCGAGAAGTAATACCGAAATCCCAGTTTGATGATTTCACTTAAAAACTGGAGGCGGCGTCACTTGAATAGTTTTCTCTGTATTGCTGAGTTTAGAAGGTCAACCTAAAGTTCAAAGTAGATGAGAAGGGAAGTGAATGTACACGCAGCACTAGTCTAATCAAGCATGAATACCTACATCAATTAGATGATGTTTTCAGCGACTTCATTCCACTGTCTTTATATTGATGAGTGAACAACCCTCTTTGGCAGTTTTGTCAGATTGCAAAGAATCTATATCAGTTAAGTATTCGAAATAATCTTATTTCATCCAAGCTGCTGCTTGTTGCTCAAAGCCTAATACTACTCATGTGGCTTATGAGTCAAATTGTTTCCCTTATCAAAAAGTCTACTGAAGACGTATTGGAGAGACTGGACAAAGCAGTTCCAAACTACCGCGCCTTAACTATCCATCTACCAATTCCGACCTCAATGTCTTTTGTTCCACAGTCACTTATTATGAGAACATCTACGGAAATGGAGATTTCAAAGCAAGTTAAGGCAGACAAGCATCATAATAAACATTTCTCAGCTGGTTTCCTCAACTTATTTCTACTTCAGTGACATTTCTGTGTTTAAGCAGTTGACTGATTGATAATTACTAAACACTGCAGTACAATACTCTTATACTTCTTATGACTGAAAGCTTTACGGTATGCATGTGGAGACCATTCCGGTAGTAGTTCTCTATCACTTGTATTAGAAATGTTGGGTAGTGATATACCTTCCAGTCTGTGTATATTGCGCGAAAACTATACTGGGAAGTAGTAAGGGAGCTACGATTGATCTGCTGATTCAGTGTTCACCATCTAGAGATGTTTGGAACTGGTTGCATGTATAACAGAATAACTAATCGCTATGATTCGAGTGAAAATACAACTACCTATAGTTCTGTAGAACTGTAGAACCAATGAGTCCCTACAGACCTTCAAAAAGGGAAGTGTTGAAGAGTCACTTACTTTGGTGAATTGACTGGAATTCTCGGAACTTCAATTCGTTTCGGAATTCAAGTTATTGGTTCCACCTTCAACTACGCTGTCAACATTTGTGATAACATTGATCACAAATAATTTCAATCTGTAAACGGAGAAACTGACAATCAAAGCGATTGTTTCTATTTCAAACACACCTTGTGACTGTTCTGCGCTTACCAACATACTTCAGGTACACACCTCTGGTTGCATGCATGACAGTTCATTCCAATTCAATGCAAAGTGTTTGACACAACCACGTCGACTGCCAAGTGAGAGCTCAGTCACATTGTGTCTTATTGACATTGTTGTCACTGTGTAAAGCGTGTTCTCTGATACCGAGGTTTCATGACTACTCATTTTTCCACACAATTTCCTTCATCTGACAATGATATTGATTACTGCATCCTATACAGAAGGCACTATATGTATGTATCGATTGGTCACGGGAGTGTCTGCACTCAGGACTAGACAACATGAAGTTGGTTGCACTCCCGTGACTAATCAATACATGTAAACCAGTTCTAAAGGAGGTCATTGGTGGCCCGAATAGCTCAGTGATGACGTCGCTGACTACAACACTGGGTGATGTGGGTTCTAATCTCAGGCGGGACATCAGTTCCATCGAGGTTGCACATACGCCTTGTTGACGAGTGTCAAAAAGAACGCAACCTAGGTCAAGCATGGCTTCCCACAGATTGCCTCCAACCAACTAGCACTATAAGTATACATCTTCCACAACTAAGAACATGTGGAGATCTCACCATCTCAGAAACGTTTACAACAGCATCATGTATACTGTCTTCAATTCATGATTCCTTGAGGCTCCTAAAACATTTTGTTCGTCCAGTTGCGTCACTCTGCTCTTTATCATCTCTCCACCTATCAAGGGTTCCAAATAAATCCCTCACATACAACAATCACTGATTATGACCTAATTATGATGTGTTGTCTTCAACTTTTATTACATTTTGTCATGAGAATTTGATGTATGCAAAAATCAAGTTTCAATTAGTCTATTCATCACAATCACTTCCATTAATATCCATACAATCATGACTGAATGAAATTCACTCAATGAAACCAAGGAGTGACCAAATATTTTAATCCAACCGCCTTATAATTAATGAAGAGATTGATCATATTCAATGCATACTTCATTACAATCATGTAGTTCAGTAATGTCACAACAAATAATAGTTGTTATTTCTGAAGACAAATATTTCGATTCTCACACTGCCACCTAATGGCAAGGTGAAGGGTCAATAGACAGTGATGAGAATACTTTGATAATCCTTGTAATTGAAATTATTCTGTGTAATATTCAAGTATATGAAGCACTGAGATATCGATAAGCACAGCCCGATTTCCTCAAACCATAGTATATATGCCAGGAATAATGCAAGAGAAAAATTTGGATTGAAACGCCCAAATTTCAGGAACTTCGTGGTGATAAAGATGACCTGGAAATTGAAGAAGGGAATTTCATTGTTACTATTAAAAGAAGTTTGATAGTATAAAGTAAGGGTGATTGCATGCATCGATTCACTGAAAAGTGAGTGGTTCTCCTTTAAACTCCAGCCAACATACTACCACATGTTCTACATGTATGCAAAACTTGTCATACTCCTACTCCTACAAAACGTGTGTGCGTGTGTGCTTAGCGAATATTCGACATTCGCACACTCACAACGATGTTTTCCGTTCATGAGTAGGATACATTGGTGATGTAAGTGTAATGTCGATTTATTTTCAAGCCTATGGAAATGTCCGATTTCACCCTTGAGATAGCCTGTCACATTGTAAACTGATGATATTCCATACACAGTCCTTGTATTGCACAGTCCCAGGCAGTTCACAGAAGACGTAGATTATTTCTCGATTTCTTAGGAGTGGGTCAATCAAGAGACGATGCACATACCTGCAGTCTCTCTCTTCTCTCTCTCTCTCTCACCAGTAAATTACGTTCGTCACGGATAGCCAGTATCAACTCCCTCGCACTGTTTTTTACAACTGGTCTACATGAGATATTAAGATAAGGCGTTTGTTTTCAAGTCATTTTGCGTCCACACTGAGCATCACCACGTGACGGGAGTGAGTGTGTTTTCATGGCGTGAATATATGAAATGAGATTCCATCCTCAGGTTTCCACCTGCTTCTCTCAATTCCGATGATAATGATATCCCAAAAAGGCCAAGTAATTTACTGATCACCATCACTATAAAACACATTTGTGTCTTAATCATATGACTGCAAAATTATTACTAAGCATGAGAGATTGCATCAAATGGAATGTCTGATTGAGAACTTTAAGACGCTTTATTGAAACAGCACGTGCTACGAGATAACTATGCTTGAGATATTAGCATTCAATCTACAACATTCTACAAAAAACCTCAAATTATTTGTAACGGATTGTGAGCAAGAAAACATAATCACAACTTTATGCTGAACTGAATCAATTTCTTAGAAATTGCAGTAACTGATTACCCATATTGAGGCTTCACTGACCAATTTTAGTGAAAGTTAATTGAAAATAAGAAGTCGAAATGACAAGCACCCCTACCAGATGTAACTTCAACGAAACAAAATGGTGTCCACTTTCAACTGACCACCTAGATAAGCATCTTGAATGGCTACACTCCACAAGTCAAATAATCATTCCACTTTTATGCAATATGACACTCACCAGAATGAATTCAACGCTCCAGAATGCGCCAGCTACAACTACCAGTGTTGGCTGAAGTAAAAAATTGAATGTTGGTATTAAATATTATTTTCATGAGCTGATTTCATAATTTAAAGTTGTACAGAAAAGAGTATTCTCACTTGCCCCTCGCCTTTGTATTACTCTTTATGGAAGGTCTTGTTTAACAAACCATGGTGCAGTGTGAAGACAATCCACCTTGACACCCTTTGGGATAGATTTTTCGCTTAGGTAATAATACCACTTTCGTTTTTTCAACAATTCCTTCAACCATTTTTGTGATTAGTCAGTTGAAATTTGTGATACCCATTGCTTCTTCGAAGAAACAATGAGTACATGACATTTCTGTAGTAGCCTAATTTGGTTGGTGGTTCTGATTTCCGTACCACATCCAGTGGAGTGCAGTCTAAGTTAGCTTTCCCCCAAAACACTCAAAATCATGTCCTGATGATTCTACCTTAAACAGCAGAATAATTAAGTGCAGTTAGGATGAACATGGTCCATGACTGTCCCAGAACCACGTCATTAAGTGATAAGCGAGATCATTGAATTGATGAATTGCAGGCAACTAGATGGCCTAATACATTTGCAAGCATGATGGTTCACTGGTGTCAAGATATAAAACATCACTACTTACCAATACTTAACATTGAGAAAGCCACCTACATCACTGGAAATAAATGAAAGCAGGAAGTAGTTGGATCAAAACCACTGAGTGTGATCAATCCACTCAAGTTATTTCGCTGATTCTTCCAGTTCTGTAGCCAAGAGCATGACACTTAAGTAGGATGTTTCAACAGTTAATTAAGTTAACTACATGGAAGACTGAGTCATATATATATATATGTCGATGAAATATGATAAATTCTGAAGAGGAATCAAATTTCGTATGACTTTTCAACATTCACATCGAAGCTATTGTCATGTGTGATATACACTCGTCATAGACTCGTAAGAAGATTCAAGAAGCATTAACCACATTGAGATTGTGTCAAATACATGAACTCAATACGGATAACTGAGGCATCGTTTCATCTACAGATCACTGATAATACGCTAAGTGAATTCCAAAGGATAGTTTAACTGCTTAAATATATTCATGTAAATGATTCAACATTTTTGACACATATGTCACAATTAAAGTTATGCTCATTAAAATATTGATCACAAATGCAGAAAACTTACATAGATGCTTGAGAGACCGGCAGTAATCACACCGATAACAAACAAACCAGCTGATATCGATGTAAGCGCGAACCATCCTCTACGGCTTAGATTCTTACATAAGAAACCCGCGACCGCCGCCATTATGAATATCACAACGGTCACAGTCAACACAATGATAGCATATAACAATTCTAGATTGGCTAATAGTGTCGCTGCACTGAAAGACAGTGAAATAACCTGAAATTCAATAAACATAATAATCATGAATGTAGATCATCAAATGTGAGTGAAGTCTTTGCTGGACGTGGAGCGGAATCATGCTCTACTCCTGTCCTCACCAAGCAAAATATTGAGCCACATCATCTTGGACAATGAGCACAAAAAATGCTCTACACTCAAAACTACGACCGCAACAGGCTGACTGGATGGCTAGTTGGCTTAAGCAAGAGAAAATCATGTTCGCATCAAATTGATACCCTACCTACGCTACACTATGCATCATCATAGAACACAACATAGAATCCAAGTCAACTCAACTCAACCTCAAATTCATCGACTTCGAAGAGGCCTTCGATCGAGGTGTTGACCGAGTAGTAATTTGGTAGGCAGCTGCTTCAACACTACAGTTTCAGTCCACAATCATTTATCAAGCTCATTGAACAGGTATATGAATGTGCTGCATGGCAAGTGATTCACAATGGAAAGCTGAGTGACCTCTTTGAAGTGAGGACAGGAAGGAGTAAGACAAGGTTGCCGCCTACTATCACCGATGATCTTCTTGATTGTGGTTGACTGGAGTATGTAAGAAACTGTGAGGAGGTGTGAGAAGATGGGCATAGGATGGGTGGACTGATGACAGACCCCAGAAGAAGATTTAGATTTCGCCGATGATGATTTATGTCTGATGTCTAACATCGCAGAAGCTCGAAGATCTACAGGCGAAAACTGACAGGTTGTCAGAAGAGGTAGGGTAGAGTAGACAGGACTTCAAGTGAATGTAGAGAAGACAGAGGTGATGACGATACCAAACCAATTTCATGAACGTGAGAAACCAAAAGGAAGTAGTCTTTTTCACTTACACCTACCTAGGCAGCATCGTTCAACAGCAGGCGGCACAGACACAGACGACGATGTCAAAGCACCCAAGAGAGAAAAGACAGCAAGATAAGCCTTCCCGCATTAACCTGAAACCAGTGTGAAAATCTAATGCACTGCATCATAGCATTATTACATTTGATTCAACACAGAAGCAAATTCATCAGACATTCTGTTCTCATCAACTTCAAGTTTATTCGTAGCATCAATGAATAAACTCAAGGGATGCTGAAAATAGTGTCATTTATGAGAATACAAATGAATTGGAGAGACTGTCAGAACATCTTACATTATCAGGATGAGTTGCACTATTGACCTCGAGATCATGTTGCTCTCAACGGACCTCCTAGTTCGATAATATGTTTGGTGCAGTGTGACCAAATTATCAACAATCAACGAAAGAGATTCAAAGCGATTTTGCACCGACACGAATAAACACAATGGACAGAAAGTTCAGCCGAATCTTCAGTATACTCTTCTTAGTAAGTACAATGATGGTGGTGACGATCGAATTGGCAAATCATCCTTTTCTTTGTACTGATTAGACCAGATATGATGCATAAAGAACTAACTAACAACAAAGTGATGAAGAATTTCATCACCACATTGATTCGTGAAGATTGAGGCCAGAGCCATCACGTTGCTACCTTCATTTCAAAGTGAACAACGGCTGAATCACGTCTCTTGTTGTGCCACCATAACCAACTGCACTAATCATCTCTATCTCTAAAAGTCTCCTTGTCACGGACACAAAACTAAAATTATTACTGACACATATAAGTAATTTATTTTCAGTCAAATGTGTAAACTTACTGCTAATAAGGCGATGAAGAGATTGACAGGAAATCTACCCCGTATTATTGTCATAAAAGCCAAGATAACAGTTAGGACTGCAGCCAACAACCTGAAATCAAAGTGAGAAATTCACTTGTCATACAAACTACAGAGCATAGCGTGATGTGGAGAAAACCAAAGATTTTTCGCAAGTCTGATAGTAAACATCGTGATGTGAATTATCGACATGTATCCATGTCTGAGTAAAATATTATCCATCTATACAACACAGGTTGTCATCATTTACCCTGTGTACGCTTGAAATCTCCATACGTCTCACTTGTTGTGACGTTCACCGTTGGTCCGTGGTGGAGAGTCTGAAGTGACATAATGCAATTTACTGATTGATGATCAACTCAGATCAGTCACTTCAACGTGATCCATCTAAGGCATTCAGGTTGTTCAGTGGAGAAAGAAGTTGAGAAATATATTGAATATTGGAACTGCCTTGATCGTTCAATAGGATGTGTGGAGTGACACCTTCTGCACTAGACTACCTGCGAATAATCAAACTGAGTACATTCTGTAATTCGCAACCAGGCTAGTTCAATTAACTAACGCACACTAATAGTTATATCAAAGAATCAGTACTGCATGTCAACTCAGATGATTAAGCAATCAACTTACACACAGGACAGCACTATAGTCATGAAGCTGTCAAGCGTTTGATTGTTCTCACTGGTAAGTAAGGTTTGATTAGTAAAACAGAATTGTGCAAGACTACTTGTTTACACTAGGGTGAGTGACGCCAACATCTGCGACAACCATCAATAAGTTATCCATTGACAACATAAACATCAGCAGAAATTTGTGAAAGTAACTTGCTCACCTGCATCCATACGGATCCGAAAATGGCGCGAATATGTCTGTTTATTTTGTCTGTAGGAGATCTTGTGTGTGTGTTGATTGTGTGCACCCCCTGATAAACGAGAATTCAGATATGCAGAGGGGAAATAGAATCAAGTATACATCTTATTTGATAATAAACAAACAAAACAACAGACATATGATAGTGATTACCTCAACTTAAGCATTCAAAAGCATGAATCAGCCTATTCTGTGCTGATTCGTTGGGTAAAATGAGACGAATATTGAATATATAAGTATTCTGTTGGCATTAAGTAGTTTCAGTAGATTTCTGTCTAAGGTCAGTGGAATGCACAGCATCGAAATGAGATGAGTCTACTAACCAACACAAGTGTTAATTGTTCCACGTTCAAGCATTGCCTAAGAATTACCACACATCCTATCGTCTATCATCCACGAATTCCCATTCAACAGTAGGCTAAAATTTCTCAGTGTGTTTCCTGTATGGTGAGAAAGTGGAAAGAGTGTTGTCAACTAATCAAATCACTGAGCCATTAAAACTACTGAGTGAGGTCAACCACATCAATCTTACTTGAGATGTCCATAGCATGTTAACATAGTTGTCGTGTTGACTACACTGTGATTGAGATGGAGGAGTAACAAGGTTGAGAAATTCAGATCAAAAGTTGGCATAAATCTCACACTCAAGAGCATATTGTTGAATACAGTGTGTTATGAGTAACTCGCACATATTACACGTTTTTGTCAACTCCACAATGACAATAGTTGATGGCACACAATCTTGGCATGAAAGATGATAGTGGCAGTGACATGAGAGATTTCATCCATGGTCATAATGTAAATAATTCCCCAATCTACACATGGTACATACCCGAGTACGTGAATCACACATCTCAACAGTGAAAAACCACAAAGTAATAAACTCTCACCAACTCACTGACAGTATTTCTCAAATGAACGAACAAGTAGTCGATAATTTATTATATACAGTGGAGAGGATAGACATAAGTATACAGAGTTATTCAATAAATGTTCATTATATTTTCAAGTGGACTTCAACCATTCGACCAGACCTTTCTCAGTTAACAAAACAGCCAATCGACTTCATCAAATTTGGCACCTTTTTATCTATTCACATACATGTGAATGTTATGCTTGAGCATCATCACTAGCATATGCTCAGTTGAAATGGATAAATGCTGATTGCACAAAAACATTATGCATTCCAGATGAGTTAATCTTTGTGTCTATTTCTAGCAGCATTTTTACAAAGAATTTGAAGGTATACGAGTGAATAACGCAACGTCTCATCTTCAGCGATGTCGACTCCGAGGACAAATATTATCGAAGCAACAATAATATAGAACCACAAAGTGAAATATTAGTGAATGTGAAAATTGTCACTCAATGTGCATACAGTGATGTGAACATTGTCGTCCATCAATCACTCCATTCAAAACACCAATTGGTATGTTTAAAATACTCCTCAAAACAGACGAGTCGAAAACTTGCTCTTCTATTCCACAGAACAAACCTAAATCAGTGAAATTCAGGCTCATATGCATATGATCTCCTTCACGGTGACCTCCAGTACTGTCAAGGCCACAAACTGTATTCCAGTTTGTTCAGATTTAATCCCTTTGACGCAAACTTCTCCTCTGTCGACAATTCTTCTCAGTTGACGTGAAATGTCACACTGTTTCATCTGTCGACCATTGAAATCCTTGCAGAAGCATACTCGAATGCTGGATGACAACATGGATTTCAGTATGCAAACACTAGCTAGATAGCAGGGCGAATCATTCTTTCCGATCTCATACCACCCATATTTTAAACAAAGCATTGCAGAGAAAACATTTCACTAAGTGACTCACATATTTTCAGATTTATATTCAGTCTGTCAGAGGAAGGAGTGATTTTCGCAATCATGAACAAATCATACTGCCTTAGACAAGTTGAAATATAAACACTGACTGACAGCCAATCTGATGAAGGTGTATACAGAATTTGTGTAAGGCAGTAATGAGTAGATCTGCAGCTTGACACTGTTTCACGAACAACACTTACCAATTACTTCACAGTCTGAGTAAGCATCTATCCAACTTGTTCTCTGGCATTCTACTGTTTTGTCTTTTTCGAAAACCTGTTCTCATCTGAAATGATGAATGGCGGTTTCATAACACAATTCAAAAGAGACATGAAGATAATATCAATGTTCATACCGAAGAGAAATAACACGAAATTCTCATCTCTGAAGACTCTCAGTAGTTGCTTTTCACACTCTATCAACAATATTCAGGTCTCTATTTGCATTGCTTGAAAATCCGGCTCACTGTTGGTAACAGGCTGTTCGATTCACTGATCGGAATTTTAAACTGCATGGTGAGGAAAAATTAATCATGAAGTTCATGTTTGGATTGTTTCGAGTGAGTGAGTGAGTGAGTGAGTGAGTGAGTGAGTGAGTGAGTGAGTGAGTGAGTGAGTGAGTGAGTGAGTGAGTGAGTGAGTGAGTGAGTGAGTGAGTGAGTGAGTGAGTGAGTGAGTGAGTGAGTGAGTGAGTGAGTGAGTGAGTGAGTGAGTGAGTGAGTGAGTGAGTGAGTGAGTGAGTGAGTGAGTAGTACTAAGATTGATGACAGGAATTCACCAGATGGGCAGAAATTCAGTGAATATGTCGTCACAAGATGACTAAAAGGTGAAATGGCTGATGGTAATAAGAGTAATATTACTGTGAAAAGATTAATCAGGAATTTTCATTGTTTATTATATCAAGAGGGGTAAAGCGAAAGAGAATCTGATTATAAGACGTGATTGCTTTCTAAAATAAGAGAGAAGGAACGAAAGAATACAAAATGGAGATTAGGAAAGGACGGGAATGCGGAAATGAGGGAATACTGTTTATTCAGTGGAAGGCCAAGGTAGGATTACAGCTTGAACGTGTTCATTTTGAATACAAAATTCACACTTAGTCGATCCCATAGCTACATCTTACAGTGTATGAAGAATGAGTACATGAATGTTAGTTGACAAAGTCATCGGAACGCGGTATATCTCAGTAACACTTGAGCCAGTATAGAACTTCTAATAAATTCAACTTCACGCTTTGCAAACCAATCTGACTGATGTTCTCGTAACATGGGATGGATGTGTTTAGTAATCCAACCTCTAAAACTTGTTTCACAGGGACAAGTGAATTGTTATCCGCATGGTGATTAGGTTGAATAAAGTAAGGTGTCCTGTGGTCTCGGGCTGATCAATAGTTAACTACTATACGATAAGCAAAGGCATCTTCAGTGAAACGTTGTGTTTATTGCTCTGGATGAAAGTTGTGGCAAAATCTCACTCATGGTATCTCCTTTGAATTGCAGACACACGAACCTAGCTTTCTTCCACATCCTTGTAACTGCATGGTTGCGCATATCATAAGCTACATTCACTTTCATCACTTTTCAGGATATCCGTCTCCTCTGAAAATATCCTGAAACACTTGTAATTCTTTCTCGACACACTCCACAGAGCAAAATGATCTTACTCTCATCGCTAAGCATCTAATAAAAATTCATTTGAATTTCATTGGTACAAAAGTGAGTGAGGGAGTCTGTGTAGTGTGTTTTGGTTGCCATCCCGTAGAAACTAGATTGTAAGAAACCATCTTCTTTTCTTGTCAGTTAACCATCAATGAATTGAAGAGAATTATCACTTTGGCATTCATATGTAGAATGAAGTTGTGGATGGATATCACTCAGATAGTTGGAGGATCGAATCAATAGACGTGTGTTTACTGCAAGCTAAAATGGTATAATACCCTTACTCGAACTCTGTATTCGAAATGAGGATGTTCAAGTGGGGTTCCCTCAACCAATTCGTCCCTTTCTCTATCACTAGTTCTTCTTTTCTGCTTTCGTTCCTGATTTCTCTTCCTTTTATATAAAACGCGTTATTATCAATATTATTATTGTCATCATTATGTTTAACCAGATTTTCATTTCCTCTTATTGTAATACACAGTTAAAATTCCTGCCAAAAATTTTGCATTATTATTACTAGGTAACTGATATGACCATCTTTTTTCATGTTCAACTGTGAAGTTGGAGGTGCACACGACTAGTCGATGTTCTTCATTAAGGTTTCCACTTCCACTTCCTGAGTATTTTGGTCTTCTTTATCAACTTGTTACCCCCTTCATCTTATTCATAGTCCTGTTTGACTGAACTAAATAATTCACTCCGTGTTGCCATGCCTCATTCAATGTCTTAGCCTACACTATGCGTATATGAATGCTGTATGCTTTAACATCCTATACATCACGTTCCGTTGTTATGTTGAATGGAAATTTTCAAAGTACACTGTTGCGTCACCTAAAACTCTATCTGCTGCTAGAAGAGAGGTTAATTAGCTATGGAAAATTAACAAATATTCTTTCGATAGATTTTGAACAGTCCATCTCTAAATTCTCAATATCCCTCTCTTTATCAAACAGACTGTGTGACCTGTGAGTAACTACACTATTCAGGATATAAGAGAACCTTTACAACCTTTATCCTTGAGAATAGTTTGTTTATTTAGGAGAAAACAAGTAGTACTAATAACAGTGTTAGCAGTATGTAAAGCACTAGTATATTTCCTTCAGAATTTCATTGATGAGAACGTTTTAGTTATAGTTGGATGTGGTTTTCAATCATCCAAGTCAGATATTTCTTCATGTATAGACGCCATGACTTTACTGACCTCAGTGTCTGTTGATTTTATGCTTGTAGAATAAAAATGAATTTCAGCAAGTAACATGCGTTAGGATGATCGCTGAAATGCTTCATTTTCAAATCTATGCAATAAGGTAATGGTATGATGCTCGTTATAAAGGTCATTCCACTCGTGATTGAAGCTAAATCTCTGTAGAAATATATCAGTTTGAACCAAGTGATCATAGAATGAATCAATTTACTATTGTGCAAACAACACTCAATAGGTTGTCACTTATGAATTAGTCAAGTGCACGTGAACTAGTGATACACTGACTTGACTAGTAGGTTTTAAATTACTCCGCTTCCATTTATGATAGAATGTTTGTGTTGGCCAGCACCAGCAACACTCACATCTCTAACAATAACTGATCAAGCCTTCTAACATAGCTTATGATTCGCTGCACAGAAGTCTATTGTCATGATGCTGAGCGTCCTACACTATAGATAATGCTGAAAGACACATTCTATATAGTCCAATCAGCACTCGAAATTAGCCAACATGAAATTGTTTACTCTTCAGTTATCAATCAGTGAGGGTTAATTTCAGTAGATGTTTCAGCCAAGTGCGGATGTACCTAATGAGCATCAACTAGTTGACAGTGCATAAATCAGTCAAATTGGTTATAACATCACTATTTACTGAAAAAGCAGAATATCATGAAGCTTTATAGTCAACCTCTACTCACTGCATACAAATAGAAAGATCGTTTGTATAACAGACTACATGGAGTGAGTATCAACGTGAATGGTTGTAGAAAATAATGACTTCATTTGTTCATCATCCTTGTGAAGCTCTTAAGCATTCATGACAATGTCTAGTACGACATGGAAATGTTTACCAAGCAAAAACAGAATTCAGAGAACGGATCAAACTGAACCTCCTCAATATGTGGCACATACTTCACATGATCCTGTTTACAAAACCAGATAGCAAGTAATATCTACTTTCAAACAGCCTCACGCACTTGCTAAACCTACCATCAAAAATAGTAAAGACAAGGCAGACTATCAAAGCTACATTTAGTCTGAGGAAAGATCATGGAACTAGCAAAGATTTGGAGAGAGAATTTACACCTACGGAACACTTAAATGGTAGCACCTCTCAGTCTTTCAAAAATACTTAATCAAATTCTGACTCTTCTCCCTGATTACGACATACTTTCAGATTCCCAACATTGAATAGCGAGATATACAGTGGTAAGTAGTTGACTGTCATTTGAGAAATAAATAATTCTACAAACTTATTATCATCCTAGAAACTAATATCATCTGACTTGGCTGAACATCTGAGATCATCACAGAGGAATATAATAGGGGAATATGAACTCGTGGAAATCTAACATACACCGCATACACTTCAGATTGATTTAAGATATGCGTAGTGTAGAATATCACAGAACACGGTAGCTAAGCAGTTTCTTCGATGATCAGAAATAGTCACCAGACTAAGCTATGAATAAAGTCTGAAGACTGAGTTCCAATGTAGTCATGAAGTGAAAGATGAAACATGCTTGATAAAATGACCCTATCTTTCACAGTCAATAATCGAAATTATCGATGATCTGATTTAGGTAGTTGCGCTTAATCAACTGAACGCTTAATGCACTACCATAAAGTAACACAAAGTAGACGACACACAATCTGAGGTATGATATCTCCCTACCCATCAGTGTTGTCAATCATTTTAGAAGCATAACATGCACAAGTATCGCATCCTCATTCACTCAAGTGTTTTGTGCATCAATTAAGTGTTTCATATTTAACTACTCCAGCTTCGTTTAATATTTTCGTCTTCAACTTTGCTGTCAAAATCTATGATAACATTATTCGCAAATGATTTTAATGTATGAATGGAGAATCTGACTAACAATCACATTGTTTCCCATCCAAATATTCAGTGTACATGTTCTATGAGTACCAACATATTTCAGGTACACACCTCTGGCTGCATCCCAAAAATTCATTCCAATTCGATGAAATGTGTTTGCTACAACTATCTCGACTGCTAAGTGCAAGCTCAGTCACATTCTAATTTGCTGATATTATCTCCTATTTCGTTTCGTAACTCTGTGGTATCACTGAAAAGCATCCAACACTCTACACTCTTCACAGATTGACTTATATGCTATTGTTATTGCATAAAGTATGACTTGCAACAACCACGTTCAGCGAATACTCATCTCTTCACACAGTTATCTTCATTTGTGCACCGTACACAGAAGGCATTATTACTGCTCACAAGCTAAGTATATATCTTCCTCAATTTCAAACATATGCACATTTCTCTGCCTTGGAAACGCTTACAAAAAAGCTTCGTACACTATCTTTAGTTCATAACTGCTTAAGGAATCGATCCATTGTTTCAGATGCTCCAATTACTAGTAGCTCCCTAACTGTTTTGTTGACTAATTGTCTCAGTCCACTGCTTACCACCTACTCAGCTATCCTATGTCCCATATGAATCCCTTATATACAACAACTGCTAACTATGACCTGGTTATGAAAATGTATTTTCTTCAATTTTTATTACATTTCATCATGTAAAAAACAGATTTAGGCGAAAATTGTGCTTTAATCAGGATATTCATCAGAATAACATTCATAGAATCATGATCGAATGAAATTCATCCAGGGGAAGCAAGCAGTCATCAAACAATTTGACTCTGTCTACTGCTCAAGAATCAATGAAACTACTCAGCCCATTCAAAGTATGGTGCATTACAGTCAAGTAGTTCAGTAATGTTACACCAAATAATATTTTTTAATTTTTTCAGCACAAATATTTTGATTATCATACGCAAATGATAGTGAGGTTAAGAGTTAATACAGAGTGATGGGTTAATTTTTCAAATCCTTATCACAAGATGCATTCTGTGTAAAATTTATAGGCATGAAACCCTGAATTAATGATAAGCACAATCCCGTTTCCTCAAACCATAATATATATGCCAGCAACGATACAAGAGAAAAAGTTCGTTCAAAACGCTCATATCTCAAGTATATCATGGTGATAAAGATTACCTAAAAATTGAAGAAGAAAATTTCATTGTCACCAATATAAAACATTTGATAATGCAGAATAATGTTCATACAATACCTAATTTCACTGAATATGATAGTTGACTGACCTTAATCCTCAGCCGAAAGACACTACATGTTGTTCCATATTAGATTTGTTTATTTGATATAAAGCGCACAGTGATACAGTATTATTTACTTGATTACGTTTCGAGCATAAATTACCATTCCTCATAATCATATCAATGTAATCACACTTCTTTCGATATCTGATTTTATAGTCCTGTCACCTGATCTCTCTTTATTTTCTTGTTTTTTGATTGGTAGTAAAGTTTTCCATATCTCTGGTGTAGGTGTTGCGTCATTCCGATTACATGTGTTGGGTGTGGATTCGATGAACAAAGATTCAGTAATTAATCTCTCTATCTCTCCACCTAGCTATATTAGACTTAAGTACAGTGGTTTTGTCCCACCCATCCTATTGTGTGGTTGTGTGTTAATGAATGTGATGCAATGGCCGAGTGTTTTCCTAGGTTATTGATCTTATTGGGGTCTGCCGTTCTATGTTTAGCTAAATTCCTATGTTCTGTTAATCTAACTGACCCCGACCGGCTAGTTTGACCTATGTATTTGACCTGACTCACAGTCATTCCATGGAATTTGGTAGATTATATTATTTTGCTTAATTGGTTCTATCGGATCTTTTAGCCGACAGGACTATAAAATCAGATATCGAAAGAAGTGTGATTACATTGATATGATTATGAGGAATGGTAATTTATGCTCGAAACGTAATCAAGTAAATAATACTGTATCACTGTGCGCTTTATATCAAATAAACCAATCTAATATGGAACTACATTCTACCACAGTGCCCAAGTTTTTACTGACACTACATGTTGTTCATATCACATATACAGTTCTTATAATATACAGTATGAGGCAGTTCACGTCACAGTGAAATTATTACTAATAATAATAATAATAATAATAATAATAATAATAAGCAACAAGGAACTCTGGGAACGAACCAACCAAGAACCTATCACCCAACAAATATGCAGGAAGAAGTGGAGATGGATTGGGCATGCACTGAGAAGGCCGACTGAGGACATCACGCGTCAGGCCCTCGAGTGGAATCCCCATGGAAAGCGACGAGTTGGACGTCCGAGGGTGACATGGAGGAGGTCATGCGAGGAGGAAATGAGAGCTTCTGGGCTGTCGTGGAACCAGGTTCAAAAGATCTCAGAGAACAGAGGTCACTGGAGACGCGCCACTGAAGTCCTATGTTCCACTAGGAACCCAAGGGACTAATAATAATAATAATGACAGACTGCATCATAAAGAATTATGCATTTTGTAGTTTAAGACATACTGTGAGATTAACTTGTCATAGTTATCAACATTCAACTTAAGATATTCTCCAAAAGGACTAACATTATTCTCAATGAATGCAGATCAAGAAAACTTAATTACAATATTATTGTCAACTAATTCAATGTACAGGATAATCTAGCAGTAATTTATCCATTTTACGGATTCTCTGATCAATTCAATGGAAGTAATATGAAAATAGGAAAGTGAAATAACATGCATCATCACTACATATGACTCTGATGAAACAAAACGGTGTCCATATTCAATTAGCTACTTAGAAATACACCATGAATTTATTATTATCATTATTATTAGTCCCTTGGGTTCCTAGTGGAACATAGGGCTTTAGTAGCACGCCTCCAGTGACCTCTGTTCTCCGAGATCTTTTGAACCTGGTTCCACGACAGCCCAGAAGCTCTCATTTCCTCCTCGCATGACCTCCTCCATGTCACCCTCGGACGTCCAACTCGTCGCTTCCCATAGGGATTCCACTCGAGGGCCTGACGCGTGATGTCCTCAGTCGGCCTTCTCAGTGCATGGCCAATCCATCTACACTTCTTCCTGCATATTTGTTGACTGATAGGTTCTTGGTTGGTTCGTTCCCAGAGCTCCTTCTTGCTTATTCTTTCTGGCAATCCATCTGATCTTCAGTATCGAGCCAGAGTAGGCATTTGTTGATGAATGTCTGTAGTTTATTGGAAATCCCTTTCGTGACGCGCCAAGTCTCTGAGCCATACAAGAGCACTGACTTGACGTTGGTTTTGAAAATCCGTATCTTGTTCCACATGCTGAGTGCAGTGGAGTAGATCTCCACACTGGTTTCAGGCTAATGAACGCCTGTCTTGCTTTTCCGATTCTGACTTTGACGTCCTCGTCCGTCCCGCCTGTACACCATGAATTAATTCACTCTTATGTAACATGAAACTCACTATAGCTAATCCAACGCTCCAACATGCACAAGTGACAATCAGAAGTTCTTTCTGAAGAAAGAAAATAAACCTTGGCATTAATCTATAATCTCAAGATGTACAGAAAAGCTTGTTATGACTCACTTCTGAATAATGTGTTGCTCTCTACAGAAGTTGTTATTCAAACAATCATCTTACAATGCGCAGACAACAAGATTTTGAGACCCTTTAGTTAGAATGCATGGAAATAGGCATCATGCTTCAGTTAGAATATCTTCTGAGTTATTATCACTATTCCATCAACCCTTTATATGATGAGTCAGGTTAAATTTGTGATATAACTGCTTCTTCTAACATACAATGAGCGTATAGCATTCCTGTCACTTATGGTAACGTACCTGTTATGCAACCAAATATAGTGAAATAAGGTGTATGCATTCAGGGTGCAGTATGTCATGTATTTGAACAGTCTTACTTCATGTCAGAATGCAAATAAATCTCGCCTCACTAGAACGATTTCCTCTGAAGCGAACAATGTGTTGATTATCATAGAAATACTACAGTTCAAATATGATGACAATCATCAACATGGACAATTATAGTGGACCTTATTTCTTCACCATATCCAGTAGAGGGAACTTACGGTCAACTTTTTACTTTGCTTTCGCTGTCAAAATGGTGTTCTCCTGATTCGACTCTCCACTGTATGGATGTGTTCTTAGTTGTAAGGAACAGAATAACTGGATGAAGACAGAATGATCATACTCCACTACTGTCCCACAAGGTCGTGATACACTGACAAGCTAAACCGTTAAATAGATGAATTACACGCTTGGAAAAGATGGGACATACTTACCAACCTGATACTGCATTGCTTTCAGAGGCTAAAGCACCTCCACTTGCTACTACTTAACTTTCAAGACACCTACCTCTACACCAATTCTAAATAAATGAGTGAAGTAAACGCACTACATTTATTTCATTGATGTATCCAATTCTGTAGCCAAGAGCATGAAAATCTGAGAAAGATGTCTCAATAGTCAATTTAGTAAACTCAGTGGTGGGCTATATGAGATTTCTCAACGGAAAATAATAATTTCTGAAGAGGAAGGAAATTTCACATGACTTTCCAGAAACCTCTGTAACAACCAGTGACTTAATATGCTTTCATATCCCTAAACTGATCGATGCATAATTTGATTCAGCTGAATTTACACTGACTCATACACCGTTTCATCAGTAGTGAATTGATGAAGTTCAATCAGAAAATTGGTCATCTTGTAAATCTAAGATACACGTCAATGCAAACTGACTTCCTGAAAATTATCAGGGTGACCTGAATTTCTTAGACAGAATGAGAAGAATGTGCTTGATATCGCAGATGAGAAAACTCCACATCGAAAAAGGAGATATTTGTGACTTACAGTGTCCACGAACTCAAAGCAATATGCAACAAGCGTTGACCACATTGAGATTACGTCAATTACATCAATTCAATACAGTTCACTGTAGTATCGGTTTGCCTACTGATCACCGATAACACGCTAATTAAATCACTTAAGCATTTTTTTAAAATATATGTCTCATTAAAAGTTATACATACCGAAATACTGATCAAAAATGTAGGAAACTTACAAGAAAGTAGGCAAAACTGGCAGCAATCACACCGATAACAAGCAATCCACCCGATATCGACATGAATATTATCCATCCTCTATTGGTTAGATTCTTTGAAAAAAAACTCGCAATCATTGCTACAATAAATATTACAATGGTCACACTCAACACAATCACAGCTTGCCACCAGCACAAAACATTTAATACTATGGTTGCACTGATAGATAGTAAAATAACCTGAAAGTCAGTAAACATAACAATGAATGAAATTCATCAAACGTGAATAATACACAAGAATTGACTTACAAATAAGTGCTCATTTGTAATGGTATAAATGATTACAGTAGTAGTATATTAAGAGGAAGTGAAAGATTCTTTAGAAGATATGTAGTTGGTTGTGAGATGAGTCACTATGATTATCATGAAAAAGATCATAGTAACTAACACAAGTTTAAGTACTATAATGGCTTTCATAATTACTGTTATTCAATCGCTGATATTCAAAACTTCTATATTTCTTGTACAGTTATTGAGAATGAAATGGTTACAACACTATCCTTTTCTGATATTCTTGCTTTTGGTAATTTCATACATCCAATATCTTCATTCTATCAAGAAATGTTATCTATTATGAAGCAATAAGAAGTAGCGTGTAGCTAATTACAGTTATGCTTAATATAACAACTTTTGAAAGAACTAAGTTACCACAGACTGCTAGGAGTAGTTTAGATGATACACATTACATCGAGAATGAGGAAACCTCGTTTCTGTAACATATAACAACGGCATAAACTGCATGGGTAGTCAAGATAAGAAGCATGGTTTGAAATTATCATCTTCAGCAATATCAACATAAGACCAGGCATTACTGAGTAACCGTCCGAGTTGCCGCCACACCTCATATCACGACATCAAGTAAAAAGGCAGTCAGGCGAAAGATGAAGATAAGAAAATTCAGTCAAAAGAGATATAAAGTACTAAATAAGAGAAATGAGGGACGAGAAAACGGTGAGATTCGGTATAGCGTCGTTAAGATGAGGATAATCTGTGTATCTGTATACATCTGAGCCACTCACATCGGTTCTGAGTCATATCACCCTACAGACAGTCTACAACCACTGGTTCCTCTTGTCCCACCAACTGAAACCACCTAGTCTGCATACCCCACCCCCACCCCCTTCCCCACACACGACTCACACCAACAGTCAAACACTTCATACATTGATGTCATGTTTCAGTCTGACCACATCGAGCCTTTTCCCAACCTACACCTACTTCGGTCAACATTGTGTGATGAGATAGGATAGATGGCAACTAGGCATGCATAACACATCTCCCAACCAGACATCTCAGTCGATGAAGGTTCATAACCTCATCAACTGATTCACCTCTTCTCCCTAAAACTCTACACCTGAGTCTGACTTCTGAGTTACTCATGTGGTGACACCACAGAATATGGCCTACACTACGAAGGCAACGGTGGTCAAACACTTGAAGTCTTCTCATATCTTCCACTTTAAATGGCCATATGTTTCACAGTCATCCAGTAGAACACAGTGGACTGCTGTGCAGTACGCGTAACTCTTAATAGGCAATCGGATATCACGGTGGCGCCATAGGTGGTGTAAGTTGGCAAAAGCCAACCGGGCATTTTATACCCGTGCAGAGATTTCATCGGCCACTGCGTAACCGTCCGAGTTGCCACCACATCTCATATCACGACATCAAGTAAGAAGGCAGTCAGGCGAAAGATGAAGATAAGAGAATTCAGTCAGAAGAAATACAAAGTACGAAAGGAGAGAAGGGAAGAACGATAAAATGGTGAGATTCGGTATAGCGTCGTTAAGATGAGGATAATGTATGTATACATCTGAAATTATTTAGCAGTCCGATTTCATTAAACATTCATCAACTCCATGAAGAGTATGAGCGCCTCCATTATCTGCTTTCTACTTTATGAGGTTGACGGATAGTCATAACAACATACATTATTAGTCTAGGTCGCACAACTAACCTTGAAGTCAGTTTGCCCTCAACACACTGCCTATTTCAATACAATGCTGCGTGCAATATGACCGGAATATCAACAATTGAAAAACGGATTACAAGCAGTTTTGGACCAACACAAAGGCCACTTCAATATAGAATACGTCCACCCAAGTCTTCAGTATGCTTTTCTAAGTATTTACAATCATATTGGTGATGACCAAATTTGCCAATCGTCATGTTTCTTGATCCGGAATCCAAAAATAAACGTTAGTACCTTCATATCATACTACAGAGATAGCAGTTTCAAAGTGGACAACAGGTGAACTGAATTTCTCAGTACGCCACCCTAACCAACAGCAATAACCACCTCTATCTCGAACAGTTACCTTGTCACTGACAGAAAACTAAAATTATTTATGACACATTTAAATAATTTGTTTTGAGTAGAAAGTGTAAACTTACTGCTAATAAGATGACAAATAGATTGGCAGGAAAGCTATTCCGTAGTTTCTCCACAAAAATCAAGACAGCATTTAGGATGGCAGCCAATAACCTGAAATAAAGTGAGAAACTCTCTTGTCAGTAGTCAGGTTAACTACAGTGTATAATGTGATGACAAGAAGAAGAAAGCATTTCAGAATTCTGGTAGTCAATATCTTAATGTGAACTATCCTTATGCATCCGTCTCCCAGTAAAATATTGTCGAGGTATTGCAATACAGGTTATCATCATTTAGCCTGTGTACTCTCGAAATCTCCATACGTCTCATTCTTTTTGACGTTCGCTATTGATTCTTTAGACAAAGTCTGAAGATCTGAATACAATTCACTGATGATCAAATCAAGGTAGTCACTTCAAAACAATCCATTTAATGCATGCACGTTGTTTAGTAGAGAAGGGAGCTGACAAATATTGCGAATGTTGGAACAGCCTTGATTGTCCAATACGGTGGAATGACCAGTTCTACACTTACTCCATGTGAATAATAAAGATGCCTGCATTCTCCGATTCCCAGCTGGGCTAGTTCAATTCACTCAGTATATAGTGAAGTATCAACATTCGCTGGATAACATCATGATTAGAGTTGAATACGAATGATCAACCATTTCTACCATTCCAATCACTCGCTTCCCATCTCTACATGTATTCAATACTTGTGATTAAAAATACTCACCGCAGCATGTCAACTCAGATCAATATGCAATCAACTTACACACATGACAGTACTATGAGAGCGTAGACGTATGCAGGAATTGTATTGCTCACACTGTGATAAAGTGAAATAGGATTATGACAATAGTACTGTGAAAGATTACTTCTTTAAACTGCCATCACTGACGACAATATCTGCAACCAACATCCACAAGTCATTCACCAACAACAACTAAACGTCAACAGAAATTTGTACAATTAATGTGCTCACCTGCATCGATATGGATCCGAAAATTTCACGAATGTATCTGTTTATTTCGTCTACGGGAGATCTTGTGTGTGTTGTATTTGCACCCCTGATAAATAAGAAATCATATATGGAGAGTGGAAATAGAATCAGGTACACATTTTAGCCAATCATAATGTCTCTCATTAGTAAACAAACAATAACAACAGACATGTGATTATGATCACCTCAAATCAAGTATTCCAATTCATTTATCAGCATAGTTTTGAGCTGCTTAGTTGGGGGAAACGAGACAAATACTGAACATATAGGCATTTTGCAGACAGACATTGCTTCCAGTAACTTTCTGGTTAAGGTCAGTAGCACGCGCGGCATTCGAACACGATGTCTCTATTAGCCATCCCAAGTGATACTTATTAAATCACCAAGCCATCAAGCTACCGAATGAGGCTAACCATATCGACATGTGAGAGTAAAACTTGGGCACCGTGGTCGAGTGTAATTCCATTTTAGTCTGTTTGTTAGAAATATCACACAATGAAACAGTAGCATTTACTGTATAACAACGTTTCGGATACAACTCATTGTCCATATTCATATCGGATCAGGTAACTCCACAACTTCGAGACAGATTTTATATATTCCTCATTTTCTCTCCTTCTCTGTGATGACAACGATAGTAGAATTTTCCATATATCTGGGACAGGCGCAGAATCATTTCGATTGCATGTATTTGGTTGATTCGATAAACAAAGATTCGGTTATCAATCTCTCCCTGTCTCCACCCGACTTAGTTAGTTTTCAATACTGTCGTTCTATCCCACTCTATTGTCTGATTGTGTCCATTTGCGTGCACATCTATAACTGAACTTTTCTCTAAATTTATTATCTTATTAGGATCTACTAATCTTGATTTAGTTAGGTTTTTGTACTATGTTATTCTAATCGACCCTGGTCGACTACACTGACCTATGTACTTGACTTCGCAATCATTCCAGAGGATCTGGTGAACCAGATTATTTTGCTTAATTGCATCGATAGGATCTTTCCACCTACAAAGCTTATTTCTAGGTGAGTTTGTTGATTTAAATGCCACTTTAATCCCAACCAGTCTCATTCAGAATTCTTCATAATGCTTCTGAGGTGCCCTCCTTGAATGGTAACACAGCAGAAGCTTTGAAATCTCTCTTCATCCTGTCACCATTAGTAGTAGAATTATTACTAATAACACCTGTATTGCTACTGCTTACTACCACTGCTAATATTTTTCTTTCGATTTCTTATGAATTTATTGATAAATTTTCGTGGGTAATTATTGAGACGCCGGGTATTCTCGATGTGTCTAATCTCTTGTCACAGATTTTCCTATCTACTAGTAAGCTTTTTCGCCCTATCACTCAAGCATTTAACTAGGCTTACTTAAACTGAAATGGGGTGGGATGATTCGAAGTCAATGTAGTGATTCGAATGCGTAGGTTTCTAATAGACACTAGTCTCCAGACTTCCGTCTTGTGTTCGTTTAATATTGCGGTCTAACACTGCTAGCTCATCTTCATCATTTTTTAAGTCACGGATAAATTGAATTGCATTCACTACTAAATTTATATATGCCAAGAACCTATTGATGTGTTCAGATTTCAGTACTGTAAACGTATCATCTACATATCGGAACCATATCTTTGGAGTAGGACCAAATGTTTGAAGGACCATCTGTTACCAAATATCCATATGTCTGTGACGATAGGGGATATTGATGATTCAATGACAACACCTTCAGTTTGTTTATATAATTTGTATTGAAACTTGAAAACTGTAGATGTTAGGCAAAATCGTACTCCCAGTATGATTCTCTCGATCGCCACCTCAGTTCGATGTGTACGTTCTTTGTCATCTTTAAGCCCATTTCGAATTGCCTCTAGAGCCATATCAATCGGTATTTTTGTGTTAAGGCTAGTTATGTCAAAACTAAACATTTTTTTTCATTGTCGCCTAAGTATATGTCGTGTAATCTGTGCTTTAAGTCATTAGAGTTGGTAAATAGAGACTTTGAGTGATTTCTTACTGGGTTCAGCACCATTGCTGAATATTTAGACAACCCGTAAGTTGCAGTGGTTCTAAAATTTACTATAGACCTGATGGGATAACCTGGCTTATGAATCATAATAGTACCATACATTCAACTAGGATTATTAGATTTCGGCATTAAATTAAGCGATTCAGACACACCTAGAGATGACAGCAGTTAGCACATCAGATCGACTGTGGACGAGATGACTTAACTATAAAAACCAGCAGTCAAAAATAGTGTCATTACATGCATAGGATGATGAGCAATCAAAATTCATCTTCGAAACGCAGTCACGTAAGTAGCACTGTATCACTGTGGGTTATAAATCAAACAATTCCATATCAGATTTGCTTATTTGATTTACAACACACAGTAGTGATATAGTATCATTTACTTGATGACAATGTTTCGAGCATAAATTACTACTGCTCATAATCATATCAGTGTAATCACACTCCACTCTCAACATTTCATTCTCATAGTTATGTCACTTTATATGAGTTGTTTTTCATTGGTAGCAAAATTCTCCATATCTGTGGTATACGTGTTGCGTCATGCCTATTACATGTGTTGACTGTTGGTTGGTTGATTCGATGAACAAAAATTCAGTAATCAATCTCTCCATCTCTCCACCTAAAACTTAGGCTTAATGACTCACACATAGAAGAGGATGCAAAAGTGGTTAGCTTCGATGTAACTAGTCTGTATACTCTAAAATACCAGTGAATATGGCACTGAGGGCAGTCACAAGTCAACTAAATGTTGACTCAGAACTTACACACCTATGACATCGGTTGATGAGATTATATTAGGCATACAGTTATGCCTGACCTCCATAGTCTTCAAGTTTCAGGAGAAAATATACAGACAAAGATGGGGAGTAGGTATCAATGGGATTGCCAATTTCCCCAATCGTAGCAGATATATTAACGGAATGTTGGGAAAACGTGACTTTACAACCGTTTAGTCCTACACGAAAAATATGGTGGTGATATGTGGATGACACATTCACTACTGTGTTGCAATCGGAACATATCGACAATTTCCTCATGCATATAAACTCAGTAGTAGGTGCAATCGAATTCACTTACAAGAAAGTAGAAAATGAACACGGGGAGAATTTCCTATGTTGGATTGTAGAATAAAAGGAAGAAGAGAGGGTGGTTTGGATAGTACTGTCTAGAGAAAACCAACACATTCCAACAGTTATCTAGACTTCAAATCATCCCATCGAATGGGAGTTAAGACAGGACTAGTCAAATGTCTAAGTGATACAACTAGAAAATTGATTAGTCAGTACAAGGACTTAAACAAGGAATTGAAACACGTGAAAGAAACACCAATAGTTAATAATTATCCTCCTCAGTTTATCAAGAAATTCGTAAAGACACAGTCACACGAGTACGAATCATAAAGACAACAAAAGTAGAAGTGAGTTCAGAGCCTCCATTTTCTTACTCTATAAGGAAGTAAATGAGAAAATTTATATGGGATGCACAACAAAGCTGGAATTAGTTATGGTGGTACTTAAACCTACAAACTCACTCAGGGATGAGCTTAGTTGACTGGTTTAAGGATCCGATAGAACCCATGAAGGAAAATAATCTAATCTATCAAATTCCATTATAGTGACTGTGAGTCATGTGAAGTACATAGATGAAACTAGCGTGGTTGGTCGGCGTCAGTTAGAATAGTCGAACATACGAATTTAGCTAAATATAGAATAACAGACCTAAGTAAGATGAATAATCTAGAAAAAAGAAACTCAGCTACTCCGATGCACGCATTAACACACAAGCAATAGGGTGGGATAAAGCCACTGTACTGAAGTCCAATATATTTAGGTGGAGAGATGGAGAGATTGATTACTGGGAAGATATGGCTTTACGAACATATAATCCGACACCTAAGATATGGTGGCGATATGTAGATGACACATTTACAGTGTTGAAATCGGAACATATCGACAGTTTCTTGACACACATAAACTCAGTAGTTAACGCAATCCAATTCACCTACGAAGTAGAAAATGAACAAGGAGAATTACCTATGTTGGATTGCAGAATAAAACGAAGGATAGATGGTGGTTTAGATACTACCGTCTACAGAAAACCAACACATTCTAACAGATATCTAGACTTCAAGTCATCTCATCCAGTGTCAGTTAAAGCGGGTTTAGTCAAATGTCTAAATAACAGAGCTGAGAAACTCACTAGTCATTGTAAGGACTTAAATAAGGAATTGAAACACATAAAAGAAGCGTTAATAATGAATAATTATCCCCATCATTTTATTAAGAAATTCACACGGACGCATAAGAAGCAAAATAATAACACTAATACAAATACAAATAATAGTGACAACATAAGTAGAAAGGAAATCAACACCTCTATTGTGATACCATACAAGGAAGGAACATCAGAAACCATACGTAGGATTCTCAACAAGGTTGGAATTAGGGTGGCATTTAAACCAACAAACTCACTTAGAGGTAAGCTTTGTCGGCTAAAAGATCCGATAGAACCAATTAAGCAAAATAATATAATCTACCAAATTCCATGTAATGACTGTGAAGTCAAATACATAGGTCAAACTAGCCGGTCGGGGTCAGTTAGATTAACAGAACATAGGAATTTAGCTAAACATAGAACGGCAGACCCCAATAAGATCAATAACCTAGAAAAACACTCAGCCATTGCATTACATTCATTAACACACAACCACACAATAGGATGGGACAAAACCACTGTACTTAAGTCTAATATAGCTAGGTGGAGAGAGAGATTAATTACTGAATCTTTGTTCATCGAATCCACACCCAACACATGTAATAGGAATGACGCAACACCTATACCAGAGATATGGAAAACTTTACTACCAATCAAAAAACAAAAAACAAAGAGAGATCAGGTGACAGGACTATAAAATCAGATGTCGAAAGAAGTGTGATTACATTGATATGATTATGAGCAATAATTTATGCTCGAAACGTAATCAAGTAAATAATACTGTATCACTGTGCGCTTTATATCAAATAAACAAATCTAATCTGGAATTACTGAAATTTTGTCCATCGAATCAACCAACCAACAGTCAACACATGTAATAGGCATGACGCAACACGTATACCACAGATATGGAGAATTTTGCTACCAATGAAAAACAACTCATATAAAGTGACATAACTATGAGAATGAAATGTTGAGAGTGGAGTGTGATTACACTGATATGATTATGAGCAGTAGTAATTTATGCTCGAAACATTGTCATCAAGTAAATGATACTATATCACTACTGTGTGTTGTAAATCAAATAAACAAATCTAATATGGAATTAAATTCTACCACAGTGCCCAGGTTTTAACACATATTAGAGAGCAACTCAGATTTTACACGTAACAGTTACCTCAATAATGAGAAGATTTGACGGCATATAAGGTTTGCGTGAAAGATGATTGTTGCATTGAATGAAGAGATTTCCTCCCTAGTCATAATACAAATAATTCCCCAATGTACATATCACACACACATACACCAAAAATGAAACCTATAAAGAAATAGAAAATAATTAACTCACACGAACTTGCTCACTCTTTTTTTATAAACGAACAAACATGAGTAGTCAACATCTTTATATATAGAGCGGAAACCTTTCGACTGCTATTTCAAGTGGACTTTAAACCATCGACCGTCAACAAAACAGTTGATCGAATTTATCATATTCGGCGCCGTTTTATCTATTCACATACACATGAATTTAAAACAATTAGTTCCCTTGATAAACTTCGACAAAACAATAAGAAGACGTAAATTGTCTGAACCGTGTTATGTATTTGCGCAACACATTTCGAACTATCTGATCACACACGTACTTGTCATAGGTATTTATATAAAAACTCATGAAGATAAGGGGTGAGAAAATAAAAAGGGGGTCAGGTAGGAAGGCTGAATTAAAGGCCGAATAACAATGAAAATCAATAGGGCGAAAAAATAATAGTACATCGAACTTGGTTTTTCAATAGTTGAATTTACCAAGGAAGGTTTAATGTGACAACAAATTGTTTATGAATACATAAAGGTGGTTTCAACTTCCTAATAGCTAAGGCTTCAACAAATTTCAGGATCCCTCCCCAACATGTTTTGTAAATAGGTGTACAGGCAGTAGCCACATCAATCTTGTGACCTGTCTCAACGATATGTTTAGCGATATGTTGGTAGCAAACGTCCAAGCTCTTCGATCGCTAAACATATCGTTGAGACAGGTCACAAGATTGATGTGGCTACTTCCTTTACACCTATCTACAAAACATGTTGGGGAGGGATCCTGAAATTTGTTGAAGCCTTAGCTATTAGGAAGTTGAAACCACCTTTATGTATTCATAAACAATTTGTTGTCACATTAAACCTTCCTTGGTAAATTCAACTATTGAAAAACCAAGTTCGATGTACTATTATTTTTTCGCCCTATTGATTTTCATTGTTATTCGGCCTTTAATTCAGCCTTCCTACCTGACCCCTTTTTATTTTCTCACCCCTTATCTTCATGAGTTTTTATATAAATACCTATGACAAGTACGTGTGTGATCAGATAGTTCGAAATGTGTTGCGCAAATACATTACACGGTTCAGACAATACACATGAATGTTATGCATGAGCGTCATGATAACCACACATTGAGTTGAAATGTATGATTGCTAGTTGCACAAACATGTTAGGCATACGAAATGAGTTAAACTATGATGTGTTATTATGTTTTCATTATTATTTGTCCCTAACCTCGCCTGGTTAACTAGTTTACTAGTTACTAGCCGGTCCTAAGCCCGGGTAAACAGGGAAGCTTGGGCATAGGGCTAGCAACCCTACCCCGTAAAACAAATCTAACCGCTAAACAAACTTCAAAGCACAAACAAAATATAAAAAATGAAAACAAACTTATTCCCCGCTGGAATCGGAGAGGCGAAATGACGCCAGTTGGTGAAAGCCTTCGGGAAGCCAATTGGCCGATGTGTCTTCTCTCCCTCATGAAAGCCAAAGTAAACGTGGGGACATGGAATGTCCGCACGATGTTTGAACCCAGTAAGGCAGCCCAGATTGCAAAGGAGATGAGAAGGTATAACATAGAAGTGCTTGGGATTTGCGAAAGCAGATGGAATGGGAGTGGACTCTCCAAACTGTCAACTGGAGAATCAATAATCTACTCCGGTCACCCAGACGCCAACCACGAGCACACTGAGGGAGTGGCTATCATGATGTCCCCTCAAGAGCATCGAAGGCTCTCATGCAGTGGGAACCAATCTCCTCCAGGATCATGACGGCAAGATTCAACTCAAAAGGAAGAAAGGTCACAATCATACAATGCTACGCCACGCACCTACAAATAATGCAGAGCAAGAGAAGAAGGAGGAATTCTACAGACAACTTCAATCAACACTGGACAAGACGTCAGTTGGTGATATCAAAATTCTAATGGGCGACATGAATGCCAAACTGGGAGGGGACAACACAGGAAGAGAACTAACCATGGGTCGAGAAGCGCTCGGTGAGGTGATGAACGAGAATGGAGAATTGTTTGCAGAATTCTGTGCATTCAACGATTTGGTGATTGGAGGCAGTGTGTTCAGGCACAAGGATATCCACAAAGCGACATGGATTTCACCAGATGGACACACTAAAAATCAAATCGACTTCATCTCAATCTCAAGAAAATGGAGACGCAGTCTACTTAACACAAGGTCAAGAAGAGGAGCAGATGTAGGTTCAGACCGCCTACTGTCTAGTGCAAGGAACCTTCCAAATCAAGTTGAAAGCCTTCAAGGAAGCTGGTGATAGACCTCAATTCAAGTACAACACTAGAAAACTGAAGGATGAAACTACAAAGGAGATCTTCAAAGCAGCCATCAAGACAAAATGGGAGACAGCGAGCAACATCCCTGAAGAAACCTGTGTGGAAGAACACTGGAAGTCTTTGAAAGCTATGTGGAAAGAAACCTGCACAACCGTATTAGGAAGGAAGAAGAAAGAAGACAGGGAATGGATCTCGATGGATACCTGGAAGCTGATAGAGGAGAGGAGGATGGTGAAGCAGAAGATAAACCAGTGCAAGGATGCTCAACGACAAGAGGAACTGAGCACAATGTATAAAACACTGGACAAAGAAGTGAAGAAGAGTGCACGGAAAGACAAAAGACACTTCTACGACACACTGGCAAGTGAAGCAGAACAGGCTGCAGGTAAGAGAGACCTGACGACATTGTATCAAATAACCAGGTTGCTATCAGGGAAGAGACCAACACAGATGAAACCAATAAAAGATGATGATGGAAATTTAATTACAAAAGAAGAGAAACAGAGGAAACGATGGGCCGACCACTTCAAGAAGCTCTTGAATCGACCACCACCCTGCACTTCGTCCAGAAATACCACCTGCAGCCCAGCCGCTGAACTACAAGTGAACATAAATCCTCCAACAGAAGTGGAAGTCCTGAACGCCATAAAGCTACTGAAATGCGGGAAAGCAGCAGGACCAGATGGAATCCCACCAGAAGCACTGAGAACAGATGCAGAGACAACAGCGGACATGCTCACACCACTATTGCAGAAGGTGTGGAAGGAAGAGAAGGTACCTGCCGATTGGAAGAAGGGTTACCTTGTCAAACTGCCGAAGAAGGGAGACCTCAGTGCTTGCAAGAACTGGCGCGGAATCACTCTCCTGTCCACCCCAAGTAAAATATTAAGCCGCATCATCCTGGAGAGGCTTAAAGACGCACTGGATTCAAAACTGCGACCGGAACAGGCAGGCTTCAGGAAGTACAAATCATGTGCAGACCAAATTGCAACGCTTCGTATCATCATAGAACAGAGCGTAGAATGGCAATCACCTCTCCACCTCAACTTCATCGACTTTGAGAAGGCCTTTGACAGCGTCGACCGAGAAGTAATTTGGAAACTGCTTCAATACTACGGAGTACCGCAAACCTTTATCCGCCTCATTCAACAACTATATGAAGATGCCACATGCCAAGTAATCCACAATGGGAAGCTCAGTGATGCCTTTGAAGTGAAGACAGGAGTGAAACAAGGTTGCCTACTATCCCCCATGATATTCCTTATTGTGGTGGACTGGATCATGCAGCAAACAGTAGGCAGCGAGAAGAGGGGGATACACTGGACGACGGAAAAGAACCTAGAAGACTTGGATTTCGCCGATGACTTGTGCCTAATGTCACATAAACTTGAAGATCTGCAGGCAAAAACTAACAAGTTGACAGAAGAGGCAGCAAGACGGGACTTCAGGTGAATATAAAGAAGACAGAAGTGATGAAGATACCGCACCACCACCAGTAACAAACTCTAATCACCATCAACGGGAGAAACTTGAAGGAAGTAACCTCCTTCACTTATCTAGGAAGCATTGTTTCAACTACAGGCGGGACGGACGAGGACGTCAAAGTCAGAATCGGAAAAGCAAGACAGGCCGTTCATTAGCCTGAAACCAGTGTGGAGATCTACTCCACTGCACTCAGCATGTGGAACAAGATACGGATTTTCAACACCAACCCAGTCAAGTCAGTGCTCTTGTATGGCTCAGAGACTTGGCGCGTCACAAAAGGGATTTCCAATAAACTACAGACATCCATCAACAACTGCTTACGCTGTCTCGCTACTGAAGATCAGATGGCCAGAAAGAATAAGCAACAAGGAACTCTGGGAACGAACCAACCAAGAACCTATCACGCAACAAATATGCAGGAAGAAGTGGAGATGGATTGGCCATGCACTGAGAAGGCCGACTGAGGACATCACACGCCAGGCCCTCGAGTGGAATCCCCATGGGAAGCGACGAGTTGGACGTCCGAGGGTGACATGGAGGAGGTCGTGCGAGGAGGAAATGAGAGGTTGTGGGCTGTCGTGGGGCCAGGTCCAAAAGATCTCAGAGAACAGAGGTCACTGGAGGCGTGCTACTGAAGCCCTATGTTCCACTAGGAACCCAAGGGACTAATAATAATAATAATAATAAATTATTTGTCCCTTGGGTTCCTAGTCTAACGTAGGGCTTCAGTAGCACGTCTCCATTCCACTCTCTTCTCTGCAATCTTTCCAACCTGGCTCCATCACTCCCCACAGGCTCATCTCTTCCTCACACCATCCACTCCATGTCATCATCGCCTCGGACAACCCAACTCATCGTTTCCCATCTGGGTTTCACTCGAGGGCCTCAGCTGTCACGTGATGTCCCCGAATGGTCTTCTCAGTGCATGCCCATTCCAATCCATCTCCACTTCCTTCCAGTGCATATTTGTTGAGTGATAGCTTCTTGCTTGTTTCGTTACCAGTCAGAGTTCCTTGTTGCTTTTTCTTATTATTCTCGCCATCTGATCTTCAGTAATGAGCCAGAGTAGGTGACAGCTGTTGATGAATATCTGTAGTTTGTTGGAAATCCCTTTCGTGACACGCCAAGTCTCTCAACCATCACATAGCAGCACTGACTTGACTGGCATTGGTGTTGAAAATCCGGATCCTGTTCACGCTTTAAGCTGAGTTGAGTGCAGAAGATCTTCACACTGGGTTCAGGTTAATGAACACCTGTCTTGCTGTCCTTCCGATCGTGGCTGGCTTTGACGTCCTCGTCTGTGCCTGTGCCGCCTGTAGTTGAAACGATGCTGCCTAGGTGGTGGGTGAAAGAGGTTACTCCCTATAGGT